AAGTTTCCTTTTCTTATTTCTTGACCGATTCTGACCATAAATATTGAGTGATCACTAGTGAAATGTTAGCAGTTCAGGAATTGACATCTAAATAATGTTCATTTTTTTCAATGCATATTGCCAGCAACTACAATGTTGCTGATTGGGCTTTTTTGTAACTAATATAGCCAAATGTCACAAACTTTTCATAAACGCACTTGAATAGTTTATGCGATTGATAGACATAATGACGTGTTAAAACAAACAAGAAAACAGATAACTTGTTGAAATATCTAGATGAGACGAAACAGGTCGCCCTGATATTCAAGCAGGCCACCAAATAGGATGAACTGTCATTATCTCTGAGAATTTTAAGTGGAGTAGAAAAATAAGTTAGATACTCTCAGAACAAATAGGTTTGCTCTTACCAAATGGATGTTTAGCTTTAATCGGTTGGGTTGTTATTAAAGGTTCACTTTGACCCATTGCATTTTCAGCCATTACACGGAATTCATATTCTGTGCCCTCTTCTAGATTTCTAACAGTTGCATTTGGTGAATTTAAGAATCCACTGACCTTTTCCCAACTTGAGTTGAACAATGAAAACAGTATTAAAAGCAAAAAATTAATGTAGATATATAATTCTTCGTTTATCAAGTTAAACTAATATTTCGATACATAGCTAATTGAATGATAATAAACAAATGGATTTTTTCAAACAGCACCAGAAACATTGGAAAAATATACTTGAATCATATAAGACTAATTTAAGTCATCATTATAATTAAAAATATTAGTAGCTTATCTAACTATGTGTCTATGTATTAGAGTAGTGTAAAATCATATGACAGACTAATCATTCTAATCATATCGGCTGGGTAATACAATTTCATATCTGTTCATTACTTACTTACTTACTTACGCCTGTTACTCCCAATGGAGCATAGACCGCCGACCAGCATTCTCCAACCCACTCTGTCCTGGGCCTCCTTTTCTAATTCCATCTAATTCTTGTTCATCTTTTTTATGTCTATTTCCATTTCTCGGCGTAATGTGTTCTTTGGTCTTCCTCTTTTCCTTTGGCCTTGAGGATTCCATGTGAGGGCTTGCTTGTGACACAGTTGGGTGCTTTCCTCAATGTGTGTCCTATACACTTCCAGCGCTTCTTCCTGATTTCTTCCTCCGCTGGGATCTGGTTTGTTCTCTCCCACAGTACGTTCTTGCTAATAGTGTCCGGCCAACGGATCTGAAACACTTGTATTTTCTGGATGATGGCTTTCGTAGTTCTCCAGGTTTCCGTCCCATACAGTAGAACTGTCTTGGCATTTGTATGGAAAATTCTGACCTTGGCGTTGGTTGACAGTTGTTTTGAGTTTCATATGTTCTTCGGTTGTAGATATGCTGCTTTTGATTTGCCGATCCGCGCCTTCACATCTGCATCAGATCTACCGTGTTCATTAATGATGCTGCCCAGATATGTAAGGGTTTTTACATCTTCCAAAGCTTCACCGTCAAGTGTGATTTGATTGATGCATGTTATGTTGTATTGGAGAATCTTGCTTTTCCCTTTGTGTATGTTTAGACCTGCCGCTGCTGAGGCTGCTACTACACTGTTCGTCTTCTCCTGCATTTGTTGTTGCGTTTGGGATAGAAGGGCCAGATCATCTGTGAAGTCTAGATCGTCCAGATGCATCCTAGATGTCCATTGTATCCTATGCTTCCCTTCAGATGTTGATGTCTTCATGATCCAGTCGATCACCAGGAGAAAGAGAAAGGGTGAGAGTAAGCAACCTTGCCTAACACCTTTCTTGACTGTTCATGCTAGTATCTAGACCGTGTTGGACTCGTTCAAGTAAAATTAGATTTTAGGACTTGACCATATTTCCTTTTACATACGTATTTCGTACGCATTTTTCTGTGTCTGTGTATTTATTCATGTCTATTTCTTATGTATATAGTGATTTACGCTTAAAATGAATAACGTGACTCAAGCCACTTTTATTTGTTGACAAGGTTGTCTGCTCATATATGAATGCTTGAAGTATATTCATTTAGGAGGTATTGTTTTGGATGTTTAAAACACCTCTGCACAATGAGGTTTACCACTATAATGCATACTAAATTAAGTTGAGGATCCAAATTAAACCTAATTTGTAAAACCCCTTACACAAATTGTGTGACTTAGTGCTGAGTACACAAAACCCTTGTAATTACTAAACGAATTAAAAGTAACTACATTTCGAGGTTTTTGTAAAAAATTGTAAACTTACTTATCTGAACCTTTACGTCTCTTTTGTAACACATAGTTAGTTATTGGTTCACCACCATCATCTTCAGGTGCTTTCCATCTCAAAGTTATTTCATCTGCTTTCACGTCTGTTGCTTCAAGTGGTCCACCTGGTGGACTTGGTACGTCTGTTCAAAAAAATGATACCCATGTATTTAAAATACAAATGTCGATGTTTGAATTCAACTCCCCTAATGAATAAATTATGTATTTTTGAAACATGGAGGAAAATCAAAACCACATTTTTCTTTAGAAGTCAAGAGAAATTACTTACTAATGTAGATTCATACGAAATCTGATTATAGTACTGATGTGAAAAGAGAAAATGAAGAAGCAGTGACAAACGACGGGAGTTATTTGTAGGGACAATGTCTTGCTTATTTTAAAATCCATAATTTACTAGCTTTTGGTTTTGTCCCTGCTTTATTCCAGAAGTCATAAGCTTTCATTTAATTACTGTAATTTAAACGTGATATTTGTATTCCATTTTTTTTACTATAATGCCCTAGTTTGAACATGATTGTTTTTTTCTAATTATTTGTACGTCATTGTCTTGCTAGCTATATATTTATTCATATGCCTTTTGAGTTAGTTCAAATTAGAAATAAAACGGATAACCATCCCGTTTAATCGTCTTTTCTCCCTGTGCTTGGCAACCTATAAGTCATATGTTAGTCATCGAAGAGTTTTCTTCTATCTACTCTAGAGACTGTTTAGTCACGGTCGAACTAACTTATTGCAAGTCTCAAGGTCGGGCCAAGTAACCTATCGGAACGAGAAATTAAATTATGTCGAGGTAGCTCTCTCCTCCTTTATATTAAGTACCGATTAGTAAGCAGACAGACCAAAGATGTAATAAGTGCACTTATATTACAGTGACATAAAAGTCAGGCTGAAAATCAGTTGTCCTAATTGTTTAGATCGGTTGACAAAAATTTCATTTTCAGGTTGATTACAAGTGATTTAGTGTTCCTGCGATTGAGTATTTCTGTGCTAAAGAAATACTAAATTGTTCAATTACTGAAAGAATATATTTATGTAATGTGTTAACATGAATATGGGGGACTTGCTTGATGCTTTTGGATTTAAATAAAGCAAGAACAAATATTGATGCAGAATAGTATGAATTCATATTATTTCGAGGTTTCTCGTCAGCTGCTTACAAACCAAAAAATGTGATAGAATTTTTACATGGAGATAGAGTGAAAACAATTGACATAAATGAGTGTAAATAACTGGGTTACAATAATAACTATATATATATATATATATATATATGCTAGAAATAGGTCAGAGGTCAAAAGAAGGGGGTTAATCAAGGTTGGGTGGTGTAATAATGCAATTGAATAATCATAAGATAGGTTACGTAATAATAATTAAATAGAATATGAAAAGTTAAGATAATTTAGGAGGATCAGGTGGTGGAAATGCGATGATCCTCCTAAATTATCTTAACTTTTCATATTCTATTTAATTATTATTACGTAACCTATCTTATGATTATTCAATTGCATTATTACACCACCCAACCTTGATTAACCCCCTTCTTTTGACCTCTGACCTATTTCTAGCATATATATATATATATATATATATATATATATATATAGTTATTATTGTAACCCAGTTATTTACACTCATTTATGTCAATTGTTTTCACTCTATCTCCATGTAAAAATTCTATCACATTTTTTGGTTTGTAAGCAGCTGACGAGAAACCTCGAAATAATATGAATTCATACTATTCTGCATCAATATTTGTTCTTGCTTTATTTAAATCCAAAAGCATCAAGCAAGTCCCCCATATTCATGTTAACACATTACATAAATATATTCTTTCAGTAATTGAACAATTTAGTATTTCTTTAGCACAGAAATACTCAATCGCAGGAACACTAAATCACTTGTAATCAACCTGAAAATGAAATTTTTGTCAACCGATCTAAACAATTAGGACAACTGATTTTCAGCCTGACTTTTATGTCACTGTAATATAAGTGCACTTATTACATCTTTGGTCTGTCTGCTTACTAATCGGTACTTAATATAAAGGAGGAGAGAGCTACCTCGACATAATTTAATTTCTCGTTCCGATAGGTTACTTGGCCCGACCTTGAGACTTGCAATAAGTTAGTTCGACCGTGACTAAACAGTCTCTAGAGTAGATAGAAGAAAACTCTTCGATGACTAACATATGACTTATAGGTTGCCAAGCACAGGGAGAAAAGACGATTAAACGGGATGGTTATCCGTTTTATTTCTAATTTGAACTAACTCAAAAGGCATATGAATAAATATATAGCTAGCAAGACAATGACGTACAAATAATTAGAAAAAAACAATCATGTTCAAACTAGGGCATTATAGTAAAAAAAATGGAATACAAATATCACGTTTAAATTACAGTAATTAAATGAAAGCTTATGACTTCTGGAATAAAGCAGGGACAAAACCAAAAGCTAGTAAATTATGGATTTTAAAATAAGCAAGACATTGTCCCTACAAATAACTCCCGTCGTTTGTCACTGCTTCTTCATTTTCTCTTTTCACATCAGTACTATAATCAGATTTCGTATGAATCTACATTAGTAAGTAATTTCTCTTGACTTCTAAAGAAAAATGTGGTTTTGATTTTCCTCCATGTTTCAAAAATACATAATTTATTCATTAGGGGAGTTGAATTCAAACATCGACATTTGTATTTTAAATACATGGGTATCATTTTTTTGAACAGACGTACCAAGTCCACCAGGTGGACCACTTGAAGCAACAGACGTGAAAGCAGATGAAATAACTTTGAGATGGAAAGCACCTGAAGATGATGGTGGTGAACCAATAACTAACTATGTGTTACAAAAGAGACGTAAAGGTTCAGATAAGTAAGTTTACAATTTTTTACAAAAACCTCGAAATGTAGTTACTTTTAATTCGTTTAGTAATTACAAGGGTTTTGTGTACTCAGCACTAAGTCACACAATTTGTGTAAGGGGTTTTACAAATTAGGTTTAATTTGGATCCTCAACTTAATTTAGTATGCATTATAGTGGTAAACCTCATTGTGCAGAGGTGTTTTAAACATCCAAAACAATACCTCCTAAATGAATATACTTCAAGCATTCATATATGAGCAGACAACCTTGTCAACAAATAAAAGTGGCTTGAGTCACGTTATTCATTTTAAGCGTAAATCACTATATACATAAGAAATAGACATGAATAAATACACAGACACAGAAAAATGCGTACGAAATACGTATGTAAAAGGAAATATGGTCAAGTCCTAAAATCTAATTTTACTTGAACGAGTCCAACACGGTCTAGATACTAGCATGAACAGTCAAGAAAGGTGTTAGGCAAGGTTGCTTACTCTCACCCTTTCTCTTTCTCCTGGTGATCGACTGGATCATGAAGACATCAACATCTGAAGGGAAGCATAGGATACAATGGACATCTAGGATGCATCTGGACGATCTAGACTTCACAGATGATCTGGCCCTTCTATCCCAAACGCAACAACAAATGCAGGAGAAGACGAACAGTGTAGTAGCAGCCTCAGCAGCGGCAGGTCTAAACATACACAAAGGGAAAAGCAAGATTCTCCAATACAACATAACATGCATCAATCAAATCACACTTGACGGTGAAGCTTTGGAAGATGTAAAAACCCTTACATATCTGGGCAGCATCATTAATGAACACGGTAGATCTGATGCAGATGTGAAGGCGCGGATCGGCAAATCAAAAGCAGCATATCTACAACCGAAGAACATATGAAACTCAAAACAACTGTCAACCAACGCCAAGGTCAGAATTTTCCATACAAATGCCAAGACAGTTCTACTGTATGGGACGGAAACCTGGAGAACTACGAAAGCCATCATCCAGAAAATACAAGTGTTTCAGATCCGTTGGCCGGACACTATTAGCAAGAACGTACTGTGGGAGAGAACAAACCAGATCCCAGCGGAGGAAGAAATCAGGAAGAAGCGCTGGAAGTGTATAGGACACACATTGAGGAAAGCACCCAACTGTGTCACAAGCAAGCCCTCACATGGAATCCTCAAGGCCAAAGGAAAAGAGGAAGACCAAAGAACACATTACGCCGAGAAATGGAAATAGACATAAAAAAGATGAACAAGAATTAGATGGAATTAGAAAAGGAGGCCCAGGACAGAGTGGGTTGGAGAATGCTGGTCGGCGGTCTATGCTCCATTGGGAGTAACAGGCGTAAGTAAGTAAGTAAGTAATGAACAGATATGAAATTGTATTACCCAGCCGATATGATTAGAATGATTAGTCTGTCATATGATTTTACACTACTCTAATACATAGACACATAGTTAGATAAGCTACTAATATTTTTAATTATAATGATGACTTAAATTAGTCTTATATGATTCAAGTATATTTTTCCAATGTTTCTGGTGCTGTTTGAAAAAATCCATTTGTTTATTATCATTCAATTAGCTATGTATCGAAATATTAGTTTAACTTGATAAACGAAGAATTATATATCTACATTAATTTTTTGCTTTTAATACTGTTTTCATTGTTCAACTCAAGTTGGGAAAAGGTCAGTGGATTCTTAAATTCACCAAATGCAACTGTTAGAAATCTAGAAGAGGGCACAGAATATGAATTCCGTGTAATGGCTGAAAATGCAATGGGTCAAAGTGAACCTTTAATAACAACCCAACCGATTAAAGCTAAACATCCATTTGGTAAGAGCAAACCTATTTGTTCTGAGAGTATCTAACTTATTTTTCTACTCCACTTAAAATTCTCAGAGATAATGACAGTTCATCCTATTTGGTGGCCTGCTTGAATATCAGGGCGACCTGTTTCGTCTCATCTAGATATTTCAACAAGTTATCTGTTTTCTTGTTTGTTTTAACACGTCATTATGTCTATCAATCGCATAAACTATTCAAGTGCGTTTATGAAAAGTTTGTGACATTTGGCTATATTAGTTACAAAAAAGCCCAATCAGCAACATTGTAGTTGCTGGCAATATGCATTGAAAAAAATGAACATTATTTAGATGTCAATTCCTGAACTGCTAACATTTCACTAGTGATCACTCAATATTTATGGTCAGAATCGGTCAAGAAATAAGAAAAGGAAACTTGTTGAAATACTGTATGCTGAGAATTCTATATTGTATCAAAAATATAATATTGAATAAAGACAAAATTAACCTACTTATATTGCTAAACAATCAGATTTAATTTCCTACGTGACAGGTTTTTTGTGGCTAAATTAGTTTCTGAAATATAAGACTGATAATAAAGTAATTTATTCATATCCAATATATAAGTTTATGAACTACCTAATTTTACTGACTACGAATTAACATAGTGAACTATTCATCAACATAATTTGAGGATTGTAATTGAAACAGTTCTCCGATTATTTTTGATTTACAGAGATGAGATACTTACCAATTCTTGAAAGTATTTAGTAAACACAATAACATTACAATCATGCTCACTTTATGAAAAAAAACTAGACATTTTAGTATGAATCTAGTATATGTGGAAATTGTAGATATTTTATTACATTCATCCTTCAAAATTTACGTCTTTCTATGTAGGATCAAAAGTTCATCATGATAGTAAAGAGTTATTTTTCTATATGGTATAACTTGACAAAAAAAACTGGTATAAAGTTGTTCATTAGCGGTTTAGTAATAGACAATGAATTGTTTTAAGTATTGGTCTTTATATCATTTTTTCTTCTTTGTTAATGGAAACTATAACTACGTTATACGAATATTCGTCAAGATTAGAACGGATGGTTTGATAGTAATTGAGTGCCGAGTATAGAGAAGTCATTATATGTGAAAATTATATTTGAAATATTCTCAGCGATTGGAATTTAACTAATTTCAACGTTTCGTCCAGCTAACTTGTCTGAACTTCTTCAAGGTTAGCTGGACGAAGTGTTGGGATCAGTTAAATTTCAATCGCTGAGAATATTTCAGATATAATTTTCACATATTATAACTACGTTAGTTACCATAAATTTGTATCATTTGTGGAAGGTAAGAATTAAAAACTAGCAGTATGTCTTTTGATCTTAGGAAAATCATATCATTTTTGATAAATATTTAATTAAATTATAAAACTTTCACTAAATCAACATTTATTCATTTCACTATATTATTTACACTCTAATTTATTACTTCTTCATGAATTATCCATTTACAGATCCTCCATCCGGTATGCAAAAGCCAACTGTTGAAGATACAAGTGATGATTCAGTTACTTTAGCCTGGGAACCTCCACGTAAAGGTCCTGTTACAGGATATATTGTAGAAAAAAGAGCTAAAGGAGATAAAAACTGGTCTAAGTAAGTACTTTTTTTTACTTGGACGGTAAATAGCACTATTATGAAGATTAGATTTTGAGTTTTCTATGGAGATAAATGAATTTGTTTCGATAATCAAAGTAACCCATTGTTCATTGAACAAAAATAAAAGGAATTCAGCTAGAAAAATTCCCTTCTCATTTACATTCGTATTTATACTTGTATGATAAATTTATAAGTCTATAGAAGAATAGAAAGAGATTATCATTTAAAGTGATCCGAGGCTTAAAGAATCAAAATGAAGGTTGCTTAATGATGGAGTGGTTAGGAAAGAATAGTAGAATGAAAATAATTTATAGGTCAGACATATGAGAAATAATTAACCATTTAATAGGTATGAAGCAGAAATGAAAAACGCAAAGATCACAATGCACAATTGAATATACGCCGTGAAAAGTCACTAGAGGTTAATAAAATGTGATAATGGTTTAAAAAGTACAAAATCAGGCAATCGAATTTATGAACGATTATTGAATTACAGAAATTGTGAATAGTCTACATACTGTTCATTCATGATGTGAATATTTGGCATTCATAAAATAACTGATTACTTTGCTAAAATATACCTAGTGGTGATATAATAATCTGATTCTTGTTGATCCCTACGTAAATAAAATCCAGTATTATGCAAAAAGATATACTATTAAATAGAGATTCAATGCTGACTGAAGAAATTTTCTCAGAACTTAAGATAATAAGGCTGATTAAAATATAAAAAGATACCTAATTAATATTTATCAGTATGGGGATTGTGGAGATTGTTAATTTTTTGATTGAGATCATGAACTGACTGATGTTAGACCACCATTGAAAACGTGGAAGCACTGGACGGCTGTTTCGTCCTATTGTGGGACTCCTCAGCAGTGCGCACCCACGATCCCGCCTAAACTACTGGTCCACTGAGTCGGCATCCAATGGTGTTAGTGTCTACCGTCAATCAATCCGCAAAACTGCGCGACCATCTTCGATTGTACTGCGGTAGATATTGTTTCTACCCGATACGGATTAGTTTTACTGGTCACGGCTTCCGACTGGAACTCCGAGAATTCCCTCACGAAGCTAGTCACTAGTGAGCACACATGTTAATTATCAGTATAGAAGTTGTGGAGGTTATTAGGTTTTTGATTGAGATTTCACACTGCTGAGGAGTCCCAAAGTAGGACAAAACGGTCACCCAGTGGTTCCAGGTTTTCAATGGTGGTCTAACATCAATCGGTTCATGATCTCAATAAAAAAAGTAATCTGTATTTGTTTAAAAATTTCCTTCCACAAGTTTAGGAATTTCAGCAATCTACTTAAGTTTATGACACGATATATTTCATTTATTAAGTCTAGGAAAATTATTTATTTCAGTGATTTTTGGCAAGTCATTAAATATTTCAACGGATTGTTTATGAACCATTAAATCAATAAACTAAAATGAAAGAATTGGCAATCGAACTTCATATGTCATGTGCGGTACCACAAATATCTTTCAAAATATTAGATTGATACTTGATTTGAATACCTGTACCCTAGTTTAAATTGGAGGGTATTGTATTATTTCAGCTTGTAAGGCACCATAATCGATTTGAATTATCCGGAATGTTATTTACATATCCTAAAGTAATCAAAGTAACCGTAGTTACAACACTCAAGATGTTGTATGTCAACATAACAACATATAATTTTTTCATGTGTTTGCTAATTTGATATAAGACAAACGAAGGAAAAAAATATGGTGATGTTGTTTAATTTTGAGTCATTTATAATGAGTATAATAACGTACAGAAAATTCCATCAGTTGAATTTGCTATAACTAATAGTAACACAGCTAAAGGATTTTATTAAGATAAAAGATTAAACAACTGAAATAATGTAACCAGTGGTAGTAGAAAAGTAAACAGAGAAAACTGAGGGACAAAAATTGTGAAATTATGCTAAAACTAAAGGTAAGGGAATAGATAAAAACTTGATCTATCCATACAGTTACGATATATTTTGAGCCATATCAACCTTGAATTATGATTTCTTTGAGGACTTCAATTAGGTACTTGAACCAATCTACATGTGCCTTAATATTAAACTGATATTATATCTTTATTTAATCAGCAGCATATTTAACATCTTATTCCACTGATTTAAATTTAGCAGCTGCGTTATTAACTTCACTAATTATTCATTTTTCTCCCTAATCAATTTCTCTTTATACAACAAAAGAGCCAATGCAGCTCCAATATCCGGTACAGGTTATACTGTTAAAAATTTACCGAAAGGAAAAGAATTTGAATTTCGTGTCATTCCAGTCAATGCAGCTGGTCAAGGTGAACCAAGTGAACCGACTAAATTTATTAAAGTACAGAAACCCATTAGTAAGTGAAAAAGTTACATCATAACATATTTTTATACTTTAATACGTAAATTACTGTGATTATTCGTTAATTGTAATTAAGGTGACCTCAGGAAAAACGATTGGTAGTAATTGGTTGACCGTGAGGACTACTAGGTGACAAGGTAATGATTGCTCACATTTAAATAATTAGTTTAACTGTGTCAGTATGCCGACTGCTTGTACCTAAATGATAATCTATCACTTCAAAGAGTTTCCGTACTTTGGAAAAACTACTTTATGGTAATGAAGAAAAATGTAGCACCAGTAAGAATGATGATCACATTAGTAACCAAATTTAATAATTATCAGTATAGGATTGTGTAGATTGTCGATTTCTTATTGAGATCATTAGTCGTAGATGTGCACTGCTTAGGAGTTCCATACTAGGACGAAACAGCCGTATAGTGCTTCAAAGTTTTCAATGGTGAACTGATAGTGGTCGATTTATAACCTCAAGAAAATTTATTGTTTAATTTGTTCAAAGGTGATAGCTAGTACATTATGACTGAACTCAGGGTTAAGTTCGAATTCGAATATGATACTCTGTGATTATTGTCGATATATATCTATCAACTAAGATGCTAAAAACGACATCTTATCAGTACTTATCCTGTTAGTATAAATAAAATGGATTCATTAATTTATATAGTTCATACCGCATGCCTAGTCCAAGCTTTTTCTCCCCAAATATGTATGGCTGGAATAATAAAAAGAGAAAAGTGATTACAAATATCTGGACCTCAAGGATAAATGGAACTAAAAGTTGTGGTGTTATATATGAGTTAATGCCGAAGATAAGTTAAGATTTCGGTTTTAAACATGATGTTAACAACCAGCGTTAGCATAGGTAATATTAGATGCATGGGTTTTTGCTTTTTTTTTGTTACTGACGTTCATGGATGCGCTTGAATATTCTTTATTGACTAATAGACTACCTAAAGGGATGTTTCGCGACTCATTTCATTCACAGTATGCCTATCTTTACAATGTAGATGGGTTTGAAATTCAGTATATTCACTAAAAATAAGATCCAGGTCCGTGAAGCTGATCACTCCTGAATAAGATAATAAGTGTATCCTGAATTCCGTTCCCAGACACTATCCAAACATAAGTCAAAGTGGCGAAATGTGAGTACTAGTTCGTTATTGGGAGACTTATACAGCGTTATAAATTAGTATGTCTAAGAAGAGAATCTGGTTATTCAGCTTTTCTTCATATGTCGAACAAATGTATCTTTGAAGAGTATTGAGTTCATTTCCAAGCGAATCGCATCCTCACTTTTGTCAATTATGACCATGATATCATAAAATCGTTTTTCGTATGATTTTTGTTTTTCTACTATCTTCCAATTTGTTTAGTTAACATTTTATTCTTCATATATAAACGCCTGGCGCGAGACTGATAAACCCTGTGTTCGAATCCCGCGAGGCACTGCTGAGGAGTCCCACAATAGGAAGAAACGGCCGTCTAGTGCTCCCAGGTTTTCCATGGTGGTCTAGCTTCAATTGACTGATGATTTCAACTGTTTAAATTACTACAATCTCCACGAAATCCCCTTCTGATATATAAATGTCTTAACATGTTTACGTGTGATCAGACCTGATTTATCACATAGTTTTTTTAAACTTTGTTTTCTCATGGTATTATCTGACTTTATCAAACGGACTTATTTATTCGATCCACATATATTTAGGGTTGTGCAGATTTAACATTAAAGTAGTTACAAAGAGATCTCACTACTGAATCAATTTTCTACTTTCTCAGACTTTTATTGGGTCAATAATTTTAATATTACTTAGGGATACGTAAAAGAATCTATATGAAAAGTGTCAAAAAATAATTACAAATGAAAAGCTTCCACAATAAATTGATGCCACAGTATCGTAAATAAGATATATATTGATATATATTATAATCCCATCTGTTTTCCCAAAGATCTTAGCGTAAACAATATACATACATTAAAAAAAGCTGAAATATAGATATACAATTTGATTCACTTATAAAAATTACTTCCAACCAATAACAAATAAGCCAACTGTTGTTTTAATAAATCATTGATATAATGGAGCGTATAACTCAATTTCAACAGAACCATGACAAAAAAATCTGTGATCCTTACTTTTCAATGATTTCTAAAATATTGTTAGTTCATGAAGAAATTTACCTTCGAATTGAAGAAATCACTAAACACCTTTTTACATTGTCTTATCATTATTTACTTTGAGATTGAAGTTGATTGTGAAATGATTGTTTCTACTAGCATTTTTATCATTTTCTATTGTTTACAGCTATTCCAAAGATAACTATTGATGCACCAAAAGAAATAAATGCTCGCTTAGGTGAACCATTTAAAATTCGAATTCCATTTACTGGTGGACCACCAGAAGAAGTCGAGTTGATAAAAGTAAGAGGGAAAGGTGGTTGAGTACTCATAACATTATTTCATCTTTTATTATTAAGTTGTATTTATTTGTCAGTTTTTCAAGTGAATTAGGTTATTATAGAAACATTCAAAAAAAGAATAAAACGGAACTGTTAGTTTTGGCTTCACAATGATCGGACAATTCATTTAACTTCAGTTATTTTGCTTATTTCTAAGAATTTTTGACTGAATTAATCAAAACATTATGTGAGATGATACGTATTTTGTCGGAAAGCTAATTCAAGTTTGTCATTAGATAGATGGATTATATTAGATATAAATAATATTAAATTAGAGTGAAGACAATATTGCTTTGAATACTCAATTCTAAACTGTGCACTTAGTAACACACACACATATATTCTTGGTATATCTCTTTTGGTTTTATAAATGTATTAGGATGTTTTTCGAATGGTTTGTTTTTACTATACGTCATTTTCGTCTTTAAATCTATCCAGAAATAGTTACTTAATTTTAAAGATATCAATGTTAAATGTGCATGAGCGCTAGTTTACGCCGACTTTTAGCACAGAAATATGGATTGGGTTAAATGACTACACTGGTCACTTCACTTATTTTAGCTGTTACAATAAGACGATTAATTTATGGACAACAGAATACCAAGAGTGAAGTGGAAGGTGCATTGAATATATTGTACTTTAGGCTTTGGTTATATGAATGTTTACCAAAAGATAGTTATGCATAACAGAAGTGCTATTCGACATATGAAAGTGGACGAAATGAAAATTTCTATTTAACTGTCCATTAAGATAAACATTTCTTTCATTTTAAGGTACTACACATTGAGAAACTTCAAGTTATATGCTTTAACCGAGGAGTTTAAGTCATTCAGTATAAATGTGAATCTAGTCTGACTGAATTATTTGAAAAATATTTAACACCCAGTGTAAGCATATATCTCGAAATGTAACGCTGGTTGTAGTCGAAATAAGTTGACAAAGATTGATTGGGTTCATACCAAAAGCTATTGCTATTCCGTGTTTCCACTGATTTAAGTTTAATCTGTCCACGATATTGATGGTTTCATGGATGAAATTTTCGGAATTTGAAGTAATAGTAGCTGAAGATACTCAATCTAGTGGAATATTGGTCATACTGATTCAAATGTAATTGTTTTTGATCTTTGTTCAAATCTCCATACTATCATCTTATATTTCTTATTCTTTCCGAGTTTACTTCAATGACCTTATACTTTTCGCAAGAGAATGTGATTAGACTAAATTTCATCACTGTTCACGGAAAACCAAATAGTTGGTCCTTTGTCTTTTAATTTGAACTATATATAATTGGGTTAAGACTCCCTATAAGATATCCCTTCATATAAAGTGTTATTAGTTAAATAACCTCTATGATAACCGTAAAACTATTTCAGCTCAACAGGAACTAATCATTCCTAAGTTTTATTGACTTTTTTTAAATAGCCAGTATCTTTTATGTTATTAGTCAGTCACAACGTATAGCCTGTACGTATGTACATCACTTTTATGCTATTGAAATACTAAAGTTTATTCTAAATGCTCAAGTTTTCCAAACTACTGAAAACTTGTATGACTATTATTATTATTATTATTATTATTATTATTATTATTATTATTATTATTATTATTATTATTTCCTTTTTCTTTTCTTAAAATAACAGGATGGCAAGCCTGTCCCATTAGATACAAATCGTTTTAAACTTGAAGTGACACCAAATGAAGTTATTATCACAGATACAAAAGCGGAAAAAGAAGATGCTGGACAGTATAAAGTTGCTTTGAAAAATGAAAAAGGTGAAGCCAGTCATCCACTCACCGTGAAAGTACTAAGTCCACCTGATACTCCTGAAGGTCCTTTGGAAGTTAGTGATATCAAAGGTGATTCGTGCAAATTAACATGGAATCCTCCAAAGGTCAGTTATAAGTAATATGTAATTCGATACAACTGAAACGAATTAAATCCTTATAGAAAATAAATGCGATTAGACAAAAAAACTAGTTTGGTTTGTATCTAAAGCAAAATTTGAATAGCGTGATAAAAATTCACTTTATAAAAATCCTGAGCATTGTACTACTCGATAAAAACCCCCTTCCCAAACGTTTTTGGACACAACGTGGGACACATACGGTAAACTTAACAGTTATCCGACAAACGTCTATTTAAATGTAATTTTTCACTAATATATTACTATACGTCATGGATTGTAATATCTACCTAATAGTTACCAAGTACTTTGACAATAAGAAAGATGATTGATCCTAGGATACTCACATCAAGGTTTAAGTGTAGATAAAATACGAAAGATCATATTTTTTTAACCCCGATTTCTGTTTATAAATCGCTTTATCCTGTGACTAGGTACCTTGTTGTTTTTTATTAGTAATCGTACCAAATTTTATCGATCCCAAAAACAGTATCACCTTTATCAAAGTTTAGATCGAGATTTTCTCAATTCTCATTTGAATGAGGATAAATGTGAATTACAAGTAATTAGATGCACTTTTCATCGACATTAATATCAAATCAATATTCAGTTATATGTATTCTCGTAAAAAAAACATTACTTGAAAAATTATTAAAAATCAGGGAGGGCTAATCCTAATTTAGCACTCATCTATTATTTTCTCAACTGGTCACACAATGGATCAAACTCATTAACTTCAGATTCCACAGAAGGCAACATCCTCATAGAAGACTGAGTGAGTAACCGATATACTTTATACCACTTACTTCAGCCAAACTATGTGACTATCAAATATTGATGACAATATCTAACTCTTGAATTCCAATTCAATTAATTCCCACAAACCGCAAAACTAAACACTTATGTGTACACTCGAGGTTAACTTTAGGGTGAATTCCAATTTTACCAGCCACAAGAAAGCTATCCACCAGGAGATCGGATGTTAATCACCTCATATGGAGAGTCGTGAAAAGTATGACCTATAAACCATTTGATTTCAACCTAGTGTTTTATAGGTATCTATCTCTCTAAAACACATAAGGGTCACGTTTTCTTTGTTGTGTGGAGTCGAAAATGTCTATTGCTAGGGAATACCAAGTTGGTACTAAATGGCTGTTGGTTGTCCTATGGTCTATAAGGTTTTTCAGTCAATATGAATTTACGACGATAAATATTTCCAAATTCAACTAATCTTTGCGAGACACCCAACCAAAAAGCAATAAGTAACGTCGGTGACTGTCAGGTATATGGGCTAGTTGCTTAGATAAAACACTGTCCACTCAATCAATTGCCTCCAAATAGCATTTGCAAGCTCACCAATCCATGTAGGTAAATTTTTGCGTTCATCTCTCTCAAATCCTGATGCTTAGTTATGAATTCATTTTTTTAGTTATATTGGAACGTGTATATTAGGTTAATCATTTAACCACCAAGGTAACATACACAACCTATGTACGTAAGATTGTCCCATATCTATTGTCCAGGTAAAGTTACGAAATGAAATTAAGAACGATATTTCAATCTGTGAAGACTTAACTACAGAAATATTACCTTGTGGAATTGGGAAATAATCATATTCTATCTTCGCACAAATCAGCGATTAGTTTAGTTCCACCTTTTTTAGAGCTCCTACTGTGGAAAAGTGTCTATCTTAAACTTAAACTGCTGATGCTTTGATGCCCTGTGGTGTTTCGTCGCATACGTAATAAGCAATCTATTGGTTTATTTGTTGCCTTGAAATCCCAAATCTAAGTGACAGACAGTGAGCTTTATTCATTCCAAAGCACTTGAAATATGTGGTCAACTTGACGTAATTTAACTTGATATTTCAGAATAATGGAGGCAGTCCGATAACAAATTATATTGTGGAGAAACTGGAACCGAGAACTGGAGAATGGTTACCTGTTAGTAAATTTGTCCGAACTCCAGAATATGAAGTTACTGGTTTAGAACCAGGGAACAATTATAGATTTCGTGTACGAGCTGAAAATGAACTTGGAACAAGTGAACCTTTAGAAACAAGCCGTTCAATACTGGCTGAAGAACCAAGTAGTAAGTTACATATGTGGGTCTTCATTTATCACTCGATTTGTAATTGATTCTTAAATCTAGTATGTTTAATACAGGACTACTAGACAATTTTTATAACATATCAATACTCTTTGTTATCATAGCAGAGAATCACAGAAATCATTCAACTGAAAAAGTGCATACTTTTTTCTTTATTTAGCTGTACCAGATGCGCCAAATAATTTGACCGTGGCTGATGTAGATGCTAATAAAGTTACACTGGAATGGTCTAAGCCGCGTAATGATGGTGGTAAACGCGTAAACGGTTATGTGGTTGAATATAAACCACTTAATTCAACAGAATGGGAACAAGCTGCTATTGTAAAAGATTTAACTGCCACTGGTAAGTTTCTGAGGCTATTATCCAGTAATTTAAAACATATTAACTACCTAAGTATTAACTAAATATGCAAAGTGTTTCAAATTGCTGCATTATAAATATCTTCCGGGACAAACAGTGTAACTGAGAATGAGCTCAAAAATATAAATGTCTTTATTTGTTTTACGCAAACAAATCATATTCGTTTTATATATGAACTAGAAAGTTACACAAAACTGACGTTTAGTAGGATTGATTTGACTGTCATTGGTTATCCCAGACAAATGTCATACTAACAGCCTCCAGAAGAATGTTGAATGTACATAGTTTTATGAAGTGTTTAGAACGGTTAATCTTGTATAATGCATAGCCTCCTAGCCAACTCTATAAATCAAAACATATTTGGATTGTTCACACGACATCTTCTAGATGTCGCTCAGCTCCCACAATATATTTCTGTCAGTCGGTTTAAACTACATAGATCTCATTTTCAATTTCAATGATCCCACGACATAGAGTGGCAATCATGTAACACCATGGATGCTGACTGTCGCATTACCTATATGGTTAGACTCTACCAGCATGAAGATGCAGTATGACCACTGTCTACCATCAAGTGATTTTCATAAGAATGCTTTGAAAGTAAATAATTTGGAATGACAATCATATAGATTCGGTATAATCACGTATATGAGTCAGGGTATGTCGGAGTCAGTGAGCTGATTTATCAAAAATACACTATTAAACTGAATATTTCAAATTCATTTTTTCCTAAGCAAACCGACTTCACTCTCATATTAATTAGCATAGCAATTTAAATCAGGTTATCTCTTTGATAAATTTAGATAATGCAATGAGAGGACGAAGAGTATGAGAAAAGAGTTATATATTTGAGCGTTTATTTCCAAACAATTTGATCACACATTTACTTGTTACGGCACTTGTATATGAAAAATAAAGGTCAACTAGACAAAATGAGTAAAACAATGTGTACTTTATATTTCAAATGGCTTATGATGTAAATGTGTAATCAGATTGTTCGAAATGTATTGCGCTAACATATCACAGCAAAATAGTTCGACAAACGAATCTCTTCAAAGGAGATCATTTTGAAAGCCATATATGCATTAAATTATAAGCATGTAAACAAGCTGAATGATTATTGATGGTATTCGTCAAGTATTGACCTCAGTTGGTGTACCATCGAATGTCAGGGGACATTTAACAATTATGGATATTCATGACCTCTCACAAGAAGGAAGAATAAAAGAAGAGTAAACTTGAGTGGCGATGTAAGGTAGTGAACATACTTGTGTTGTAGCTAGATTACTTTTTGTAGGAAATTACTTTTCATTTATGTTACTTAATTTTAAAAGATTTTTGATAATAATTTCTTTTTGTTTCAAATATTTTAAAAGTCGATGGGTTGAAAAAGGGTGAAAAATATATGTTCCGTGTTTCTGCTAGAAATGAAGTAGGTGTGAGTCAACCATGCTCAACCAATCGTGCAGTGGAATGTAAACCGAAACATAGTAAGTAAATTTATGAAATTCGTAAACTATTACTAATGCATAGGGGAATCTTTAGGCACTTCGAACTGTCTTAAGCTGTATATATATATATATATTGGGACGGCTTCCGAAAATTACGACGGAGCCTCCAAAGGCCTTCAAGGAGCTGAAGAGTTTCCATCAAATCAGAATGTAATGGAGGTTTCTAGAATACCAACATGGCATACCACGATTGAACAGTAGCATAATTTGCCTCTTTGAGGACTGGCTGAATTATAATGATGTTATAACAAATGCTAATATCTAATAAAAACCCGTGATTTTCTCCACATTTTGATTCTTACCCAACAAACATTTCTTCAGCTTTCTTCTGATTTTGCGACTGTGCGGTTCTATACGTTAACTTATTATTTTTATGTTCATAGTAGACAAAAACGAATTAAAATTTCTTCATCCATCTCATTACTTAAAAAAATCGTGAAATATCCCATTGACATCATAATTAATTTGTTGGTTTATTAGACTTTTCCATTTTCATCATATAAAACTATGAAGCAGTCATAACTTTCCGATAGATTTATAAAACCTAAAGTAAACATATTCCATCAGTACAGAATACTTCATGGACATTGAAAGCCATTCAGCTTCTGCTTGATAATTACGACAATAATCTCTCTGTAAATGTTATGATTGATCACAAAATATAGAAATAGTATTGTAGTGAACAAACACTCAAGCGGGAAAGACCGAGATTACAGAGTTCTTTCGTAAAATATGTAAACCATTTATTGAATACATCTTTGCACATCCTCCATCAGTTGTTTATTACAATCCTCACCGTTACTTCATTTCTGTTGTTATCTTGATTATTTTTGTTTTCTTCTCTCCATTTCAATCTTCTGCTGGCATGCATTCCGCCTCCGAATGGTGCTACATACCACTTATGTCTATCAATATAAGTAGCATATACCACAGTACCACTAGTTTGTAAATTTTTAGGTTTGTGATGACAATTGATTAATTTCTATAAATTTATGTACAAATTTTTATCTACTGAAGTGTAACATTTCAATTCCACTCAATTTTAACAGCTACAGCCGATAGCCCAGGACGACCAAATGTAGATGATATAGGAAAGAATTCAATCGATTTGTCCTGGTCACGTCCAGCTAAAGATGGTGGTGCTAAGGTGACAGGTTATATTGTTGAAAAACGGAAAAAGAATTCACCAGATTGGGAACCTGCAGTATCAGGAAATACACCTGTTACTGGTACACAAGCTCACATCGATGATTTAGATGAGAATGGTGAATATGAATTCCGTATCAAACCAGTTAATGCAGCTGGAGTTGGTGAACCAAGTGAACCTACTCCGATGACTAAAATTAGACCAAAAAGAGGTAACGATTATTTTCATGTCTTCTTTAATTTTAACACTTATAGTTACAGAAGTAACTGTTCTATTTAAAATTTATTGATGATAAATAATTAATGTTTACGAGTTATAAGTAAGGATAAATAAAATAATCTAGATTATATATGATATAACGGATGCTTTAAAATATATTTCTATCTCTCAAGTATACTTCGATAATAAGACTAGTCAAGTTATATCAGATCCAGGATTCACGACCCAGAATAGAGAATCAGATCAATCGCTAGATAATATTTTATTCAACGCACTTAATAGCATTCACACTCACTGAGTTCGAAGTAGAAATCAATAACAGGAAATCACATATTTAATGGTCAGTAGGCTGTGCCTGTTTGTCGACGCTCAGTGACCATTTATATTTCACTTTCACCATTACATATCAATGGGGAAGTACGGCTTCAGATGCGTATTATGTAAACTTATGTTTATCTTTGGTTCTCTCCTGTTCTACGTTATAAGTTACATGTTCTTATTATTGAACAAACTAACTGGGCAGTTGATGAAGTCTGAAAAAAATCGAATGTTTGAACTAAACATTCTTGAGACTCATTAAATGACTATAAATGGCTGTAAATAAATGGCAGGTTTTTATCTCAAGTCATACTATAACTGGCATTCTGTAGACGGTATAAATGTTTTAAGATTTCTTATTACCGTTTAAGTGGGCAATTAAGAATGTAGACACAAGCTTGATTATTATAAAAATCACTTTCAACTGTCAAATAGTTATCGTAGTGCTATAAAACTACTGAGTTTAGTAGTAGACTTATATTGATTCAGTGTCCTTTGTATTCTTTTATTTTTCAAACATTTACAGTGTAATCATCAAAATTATCTGAAGACAAATGATATTAAGATGGTTTTCAATAACAACCTGATAAGTTGAACAGTTGAATATTATATGATCAGATATATATTTATTTCCCTTGACTTACGGATATCATTAAAGCAGACCAGGTCTTCAAATGTGTTCCAGTAATGAAGGTCATTAGCCCATAGCACCCTCCATACAATGAACTTATATTTGAACTATATTTTAGTCAAGATTTTTAAATTACCTATAGAGAAAAATGTATCTGTTTATGAAATGTTAGTTGTATTCAGAATGATTAAATTTATTCATTTATAGCAACCAATTAAACTAGTCAATGAATTAGTTATTCACATTGATGAAGAAGACTTCAGGTGCTTGCGTTCATATTCTTGTTTAGTCATATGTACATTTGTTCATTTAATCAGTTTTCATCTCGTAGTTAGAAAATATATGATAGTTTTTCTAAGATCTATTGTAGTTAGATTTAAACTGTCACTGATGATTTTGTAATGTTGGCTTCTATAGTCTTATTACAATAATAACTATGAATTGAATTTCACTAACAGCATTAATGTATATATCTATTTTTTACTTACTTCTTTCTTATTTGTCACATCAAGATAAACCAAACCCACCTGAAGACGTTGAAGTCAATGATCTTTCAGCAGATAGCTGTAAACTAACCTGGAAACCTCCAGCTAAAGATGGAGGCGCTCCAATTACTGGTAAAACTATTTTATGCAATGTGTTATGTATCACTTTATTGAAGATAATTTTTTATATAGATGATTCTTAGCAGAAACATATTCGAACACTACTGGGTCCTACCTCAATTTTAATAGCGTAGCTGTACCATACTCTTTATTAATCTGCCGCTTCTAGATTTCATTTTGGAGAATTCAGAACTAAAGTTAATTAGTAATTAATTATTCCTTGAAATGGTTGTACTGAAACCCTTTGATCCAAATTAGTGTGAACAATTACAAAGATTATGGTTATTTATTTATCAATAAAAAAAAAGATATTCCTCACCCAGAATTTGTTGCTACCCCAAATATTTCGCTTATTTCAAGATAGTAATCGATATCTAAAACGGAAATTACTAGCGTTCAATGTTTCATGGACGCAAATATCACATTGTACGGATCATATATACAACATAGAAAAATGTTTTCAATGAACATAAGGTTATACACCAAATTTAAATTAAATCACTGCAGTCTGCAATCTCACTTTATCAAGGTGCACAGATTTTCACTAGTTCTAATCAAATGTTATTTCGGTTATTGTAATGTGTAATACTATGAGTTGTAATTTATATATGATGTTGCTGAATTTCATACATGAAAACACTTGTTCACAATGTAATTTAACTCAAAATGGCAAAACATATGAGACCAAACTTTCTCAAGTTTCGTAACTTATCCTAAGTCAATAAAACATATAGTTTAGTCAATAATGCATATTTGAAGAGCTTCTTCAGTCTATTTTTCGCTTTCAGGTCTATTGGTTTCATCAAAAGACAGTGATGAAATCCCTCATCGTCAAAATACGATAATACTGTCAACAAAGCGCTTTGAAAGCTTCATGATTTTATAAAGGTTGATTATTGAGCCGTGACATTTCACAACTATATTCCTGGGTAGATTCTTACTAGACAGTTTGTCTATATTCAAAGTCGAGAAATGAGAGCTGTTAGTTTTCGCAAGTTGCATAGACAAAAAATTGAGTTTGATTTCAAACCATACTTCCTAAGATTCTACCATAAAATCACCATATCTCCCTAAAATAGTGTCACAAGCCTTCTGACTAAGAGCGTGGATCAAGATTTACTAATGTAATATGTACATGGCTATTCAGCTAAATTTACGACTTGATCACAACAGTAAGATTATGAGGGATATGCAGATTTCATTTTCTTTGAGATTTAACTTTCATGAATGTACAACTAAAAATGACTTTTACTCTACCTACAAACAACTTAGTTTAATATTGAAAGGTGACTTTTTGTTGGAATGGTGTTATAGAACGGTAAATAAGTGTCATCATCATCACCATCTTGATGAAAAAACATTGCCTTTTGCAGAAAGATAAAATCATATAAGACTAATCTATTCTTTCAAAACTATTTCATTTTACATTGAAATTTTACTTTACTTATTAAATGCATGTTCGGCAACATTGTAAACTTCTCATTTACGAAGTTATGCATTCTTTTAGCAAAATGTAACCTAATGAAAAAAGTTATTCTAATTACCGATAATTTTATTTCTTATTTATAGATTATATCGTTGAAAAATGTGACGCAACAACCGGAATCTGGGAGAAAGTTCCTGCTTTAATTGTGGGAACATCATGTCCTATTAAAGGTTTAGTTGAAGGGAAACGTTACCGCTTTCGAGTATCAGCTGTTAATCCATTAGGTCAAAGTGAACCTACTGAATTATTAAATGCTGTAACGGCTAAAAATCCTTTCGGTAAGATCATTTTTATTTTTAAGAATGTTTAATCCATTATGTTTTTTCATAAACAGATGCACCAGATTCACCTGATAATTTAAATATGGATTCATTTGATAAACATTCTGTGGATCTCTCATGGACTCCGCCAAAACATGACGGTGGAAATCCTATTAAAGGTAGGTAGTGTGTGTGTTCACTGAAATAATAAGTATATTATGAGATTATTATAAAGTTAATTGTTCTTACGAAGTCATGAAAGTGAATGTTATTATATTGACTGTATTGTGTCATATTAACAATAATAATCTGAACCCAAGTTTTTTATCACCCCAAATAGGATATCTTGTTGAAAAGCGTACACCTAAAGGTGAATGGAAACAAGCAACAAATGGATTGGTAACAAATCCTTCAGCTCATTTAACAGGTCTTGAACCAGGTGAAACTTACGAATTCCGTGTAAGTGCCGTAAATGACGCTGGTCCAGGGCGCCCATCAAGGGCTACAGCACCTCATGTTATGAAAGATCCCAGTTGTAAGTACTTTTTTGAACTATTAGTCACTTTTTTTTCCACAAATCTAAACTTCAGTATAAAACCACTCTGTAATTTCTAATCTGGGCTACGTTGAATGTGAAATTGTTTATCCTTAAAATAAATTTCTACACATACTATTTATTTAAGTATTTAAAAACAAAGAGCATTACAGCTAACTATCGTCTTGAAGAAACTGTACATTTACAAATCCATAGTTATTATCTTTGTGTTACAATCGACAAAATATTAAAGTTAGATTAATTCGTATTAGAAAAAAATATAATGGCAAACTTCTTGTCGATTGAGTTTAAATTCATTCAAATTACTAACAAGATAACATAACATCATTGATAATATTAAGAAAAACGTCATACATAATGGGTGAATAATGATAAATTGTGAGGTCATAAGTTGAAAGCTTATGTAAAACAAGCTAATAAAAAAAGTAGGAATTTGTGTTCTAGTTGTTATGATAAATAACAATAATAAGGATATTAGGGACAATTAGTAACAGGCGTATCATTGTGAATGAGAAAGATGAATGTGTAATTATGGATAAGAAAAGTGCATGGTAAGGGAGTGGAAATAATGAAGAATAAACAACACAATGAGAACTAAGGATAAAGTGATCCTAATGCGTGCCAACGTAAATGGAAAAGGTGTATGATTCATTTATGTGTTGGTTGTTTGGATCTTCTCATTGATTTTTAGAACTGGAATTGATCAGTCTCTTATTGGTAAATGTGCATCTTGTGAGGATTGTATTGATTCACAAGTATTATAAGTAGAGATGGATGATGAACTTAGTAGCTAAGTGAATAACGCTAGGACATTCGAACCGAACGGTACTGAATTCGAGTTCCAGAGTGAATATCACTTCTGGGATGCAGGAACATTCAACTTACGAGTCCCAAACAAGACGAAACGCGCGTCCTGCTTTCCATTGCTATCCACCATTCATCTCTGATTAGAAAGGGTGTATGTATGCTATTCGTATATATAATTTGGGTTTCCTTGAACTGATATCGATTGCGTCATCCATGTAGAGGAAGCGTAATATTGTAACTTTTGGTAAATTATTATGAGCATTCCATATGTATATCTGAGGAAGTACGTTCAAATTTAATATTATATTCGTAGTCAATTAAATGGAAATGAATGGTACTGATTTACTCAAAAACACAAAATTAGAAGAAGAATTAATCAAACAATTAATTTCTCAATTATATTTACTACTATTTTAACAGATCCTGCTGCAGCACCAGAGTCATTAAATGTGGATAAAGTTAATAAAAATGGTGTAAAATTATCATGGCAAAAACCACGTAAAGATGGTGGAAGTAAAATCACTGGATATCAAGTGGAAAAGAAAGATGAAAATGGTAATTGGGTACCTGTGAAACAGACTACAGAACCATGTGCATTTATCCCAATGAAGGAGGGTGAGACTGCACAATTTCGTGTATGTGCAGTGAACGATGAGGGTCCAGGTGAACCGACTCGACCTACTGCACCCGTGACAGCTGTTGATCAACCAGAAGCACCGAGAATATGTACCCCTGATGATTGTGTTGGTGGTTTAGGCAGTGGAGTTGGTGGTTTGAAAGATATTAGTATAAAGGTAAGTAGTCTAATAAAAATTTTAGATGCTTCTATTCATATATCATGACACAAACTAAAGTTATTTGTTGTACACAGTTGAATAATTGTAATTATACCATTGATTACAAATTATCTCAAACTATTATAAAAGTATGAAACAAACTGTGATTAACGATAATGTTATCAAATAATAATGTTTGTTTATTTCAGGCTGGACAGGAATTAAAATTACCAGTGGCTTGGTTTGGTCATCCAAAACCTACATTTAATTGGACATTAAATGGTGAACCAGTGAAGATTGATGGAGTTCGTGTTATCCAAAAAGACGAGCCTTTACCACCTCCCTCTCATCCTGGACCTGGAGGACATTTGGAACTTTCACCTGGTGGTGTTGTCTTACTTGTTATTCCTAAAGTGAAACGATCTGATCATGGAAGATATCAATTAACAGTAATGAATGATTTGGGTCAAGCAAGTACTTCATGTCAAGTAGAAGTTATGGGTGAGTTAAATAACAACTGGTACCTGATTTCAATCATACTTCTATAATGCTCCATGGTTTACATATAGATTATAATTCAATAATATTCTAACTCAAAATCATTAAAAGAATAGTGACTGTTTTTTTGTAACACCATTTTATCAGGTATTTTCGTGCATAATTTTTTTGAATGATTTGCAAAATAAAGGGAACAATAGATGACAGAAATCATATCGATAATTGAGAATGAACAATTTACTAAAACCCCGTGTAATACATTGCGAAACGATTGGTTAACCTTTTTCTAATAAATTTTATTAATCGATTTGCAAGTGGGTACTAAACAAACATTTTAAAGAATTCGGATAAGTCTCATTTATCAAAAGTAAAAACGGAATTTACAATATTATTTACTACTATCTCTTATCAGTAAATAGCTTTTATACAAACTTAATACGAGTTAAACAACTTCTGAAAAGAAAGAAACACTGGACATTTGTGCTATTCTTGTATTGATCTTTTAAGATGTCAGTACTAATAACTTCGTATAAGATCGTGCCCAGGATTTGTCCAGATTTGTCTATGAACAAAGAAAAAAAACCCTCACTAATTCATTAAATAATTTACCAGCTAGTAGATTTAGTATAGTTATCACCATAATAGATGTTACGATGATAGATATTCTAAACAACCCGTCTTTTGCTTGATCGAATACTGGTACGTTAAATAAAAATTTGTATTGTACAATCCCAGTTCTTCTTGTCTCGTAAGTAGCATCACTAGGTCCATGAAAATTTATTTCAGTTTAGCTCATAACTTCAAATACAAGTGGTGAATAATGACGGTTATTCAGTTGCAAGTGATTATTTCTGTTAGCACATTTTATCTGTTTAGAGCAGACGTTTCTAAATCTCCCAGTTATTAGTTGGTAGCTGATTTTACCACAAAATAATGTGATCTAGAGGCCTGCAGGTCTTTTATTTCAAAGATTCTTAAATCAAAATAATACATCTGTAAATTTTTCCCCTGTAATTTCAATGGTTTGTTAGCTAGTGTTAATTCATGATGTGAAATTAGCCTACAGATATAGAAAATTACCCACGAACTACATTATATCATATTTTGAAATTTGATTCGTCTTTATTTTCATTCTAAGATGCTCCATCTGCACCTGGAGGACCTCTTGAAGCAACTGATATCAGTGCAAATGAAATAACCTTGAGCTGGAAGCCTCCTACAGATGATGGTGGACAGCCTATTACTAATTACAGACTTGAGAAACGTCCGAAAGGTTCAGATAGGTCAGTCACTTTTTCAACTTTTAAATCATTTCTGTCATATTGTTCATTCTATTATAGTCAGATATTTATTATTTTTTAAAATCACGTTTTACTGTTTCCTTGAATGTAGTTGGCAGACAGTTAGTGGATTTTTAAAATCACCGAATGCAACAGTCAGAAATCTTGAAGAAGGTACAGAATATGAATTTAGAGTTATGGCTGAAAATCCATTAGGACTTAGTGAACCACTCATGACCAGTTCACCAATAAAAGCAAGGCATCCATTTGGTAAGTTCGTCATACATATAAGTCTTTTAAAATTGAACAAATAGCTTTTAGTTTTCTCTAAAAATTAACTGGAAATAACAACTGAGATCTAATTACATACTTTGGTGTTGCTGGTGTTAACAGTTTTTCTACATATCAGGGAAAATTTTTTAAAATTTTACTAGTAATAACCATTGAATAGTCGTTCTAAGAGAGTAATAGATGAAAAAAAGCATTCAATACTGACGTGTAAATTTACTCATTTACCAATTTTTCCGCGCTTCTATAAGTGCGCACATGATTAACAATTTACATGGGCGAGATATTTTTTAGAACAACGTATTGAATTACAGGTGAACTACGCCATGTTGGTAGGTGTAGACTCCCTGATTGGGATCAGCTAGACGATAGCAACCGATGGTTAGAGACCCTGAATGACATGGCTCAAAACCGTTTGCAACGGCGCAGGTGCATCCATTCTTTGTGTTCTCCCAAATTCTAATCTACTGAGTTTTTCATGTCCCTTTTTTTCTCTATCCAAATTTATTTCACTGGGTCATACTTCTTAAATAACATCTTCAAAACATAATCTTTCCGATTACTGCTTATACTCTTACTACCTTTACCACTACAGGATTTGAATCGACAACTGCATCTCTGTTGTAATGTGATACGGCAACTCGAACGGATGTACGTACGTACGAAGTTCTACGTTATTGCTGACTGACTGAGATCATACATGACTTTTGAATATATGTTCCAAAAATATTATCATTACTAGTTTTTATTCAATCAAACGTTTACATGTAACAATGTTCGTAGTTTACTTCTGTGGATCTCGGAGAAATCCAATAAATTAGTACACTCGTTTAATCTTTCAGTTTGAAAAACTACTCTCACACATGTAAGACAATATTTTACATAACTGTACACTGATTTATCTCAGCAAATGCATGAGACTTTCATTACAGACACATTTATTGAAATACCGAAAGTTGTTATTAACATAAATTGAAGTTTAATACTAGGGCAACTTTACTATGACTGATATTTAACTATTTAAATGAATACAATTTAAACAACTGAATCGTTGCTTCTAGTGAAATTGATTTGTTAGATATTTTAAGAGATAGTGTATTAGTTATTTCTTTACTCTTTGAAATAGCTTGGAAAAGTTGAATTAAAGAAGAAATAAAGATACATTAACTTACTGGTTAAAGTCTTAAATAAGACAATATCTAACCAAGGGAAGATTTGTTTTACTTGTTTTAGGTAAACAACAATACAGGTAGTAATTTCTGTTTAAAAATTATTCTTAATAATGTAATTTTTACTAAGACCATTTGAATATTTACTTTTAAGATATCTTTTTTTATATCTGTTCATATTTTCATTAGCTATATACATTATTCTCTGTGTTCTAGATCCACCTTCTGGAATGTCACAGCCAACAGTTGAGAATGTTACAGATGATTCAGTGACATTATCGTGGGAGCCACCTAGAAAAGGTCCAATTACTGGTTATACAATAGAAAAGCGTGGAAAAGGAGATCGTGCTTGGACTAAGTGAGTTTATTATTGAAGTAGTCAAAAATAATAGTATATAGTTTGTCACCTTATTGTCTAAGCCTGTCTAAGCCTTTTTGTTGCTTTAGACATTATTTTATCATCGAGTGTTACACAACATTTTCATTCAACTACTGAACATGCTTCAAGTTAGGTTCGAAGTTTTATTGTTCACAACACTACTTCGAGATGGTGGAGAAGATTTGTAGTTCAGGTGGATGATTTTGGTGGAGTTTGCTCAGAGAACAAAACTCCACCAACAACACTACTTCCGTATCTGTATTAAATATACATGAGGAGAGAAGGTGCGATCTACTACTTTAAATCAAAATTTAGACGGATCGGCATGTCTTTTTTTATTGAAATAACATCAGTTATTTACTAAAAACATATTCTTGATGAACTGAAAAGTTAACCTTTTAATTAGCCCATATTATTCTCAAAATCATAATGCATCATTTTAAAATATAATCCTTTATAAATCTACAGTGAGAAAACAATTCCCTGGCGTAGATGTTACACTGAAACATTTTTAGGGGATTTTAGTCAAGATTGGTTGAATGAATAATAGAAATTTTAAAATGATAAAAAGTTTTATTCACCTTACACCAAAACATTTCACACATCCATTCTTAATATATTTGATCATTGGATAAAAGATAATTATTAATCAAAACATATTATCAGAGGTTGTTCTGGAGGTTATTATTTTGAAGACTTAGTCACGGACGACTACAAAATTAGCATCTATTTTGAGGATAAACCACTAAGTACTACTCAGCTACCTTGTTTTCGCATATGATTGTTTAATAGTGTGACTACTGGTTTATGAAAAGACCTGAAATTAAGATCGTTAGATCTGAGGACTTACACCTTGTCATACATCTATCAGGTCGAAATTCTTTCAATTATTATTTTTGTTTATTATTTGTTTATTTGTTATCGTGTAAAATTTGACATCTAGTACTGTCAATGAATAATTATCTTCATTACATACGCTATCGACTTAACAGTTCATAGTTTTCCTTCTCATGTTATCATTGATTAGGAAATCATATATGGAACAGGAAAGTAAGAAGTAGTTATTCCATACTTCAAATATCCCCACTATCAATAGTAATCGTAAACTGACATTTCCAGTTCATTAGGATGTGTAGAGTGACAAAGTTTAAGGACTGCAGGACAAAGATGTGATTCCTTAAAAACTCCTTAACTCTGTATGTAAACGCACAAATTATCATTGATTTTGAACTCCATATTTTAATATTTATGTATTTTCTTTGAAAATTAAACATTACCTAGAGTAAATGTACATCCATTGTCAACGAATGAATATACCATAAGAGGTTTACCACAGAGTAAAGAATTTGAATTTCGGGTTGTTCCATTCAATGCTGCTGGTGCAGGTGAACCTAGTGAACCGACAGGTTACGTTAAGATTCAAAAGCCCAAAGGTAAATACATAAAAATTAAAGTTCATATGAATATGCTTTACATTTACAATATTTAAAACATTTTTGAAAACTCGTATTAAGATCCGAATAAGGTATTACTCATGTTAAGATTAGGAATACATTAGAAAACTCATTTCTTAAATATTTTTGCCGTATCAATGTACTTTTTATTAAAGACAGTGATTTACAAATGTTCAATTCATTTAGATTTTTCCAGTACTATAGTTATTTACTTTGAATCCCGGCTTATTTACAGTGAGATTAGTTCATACATAAACAAATCTGTATAGTCCAATAGGTTGAATCAACTGAAAACTTACTATATAAAATTCATAACTATGTATTTCAACAATTCATCAATGCTGTTGTCATTAGTCAAGCTGATCAAACCATAAACTTAGTAAGTTTATGGTTTTATTATATTCTAACTTTCTCAATCAAAATACTTATAGAAGTTTTCATCAGAATGATAATACCATCGGCTTATCAGTCGTTTAAAGTGAAATCATTAAAGATTTATTAATTGTAATTTGATCCATTCTCTTATATTCACTTTGGTTTCTTCCCTTGACTTTTCAATGTAATTTTCAAGCATGGAAATTTTAAATAGTCGAAATTTGCGTATGATTAAGATTTACATTAAGTAAGATCAATAATGTCTAAAGCTTCAAGAATGTTAATAAAGTCTACTATTAAAATACTACTTATCATGATATTAAAGGTTCCTGCTTCATATAGATTGTTCAAATTCATCAAACTTCTGACTAGAGACAAAATTACAGTGTTATTTGATGAACTAAAAAAAACATACTTTAATACTTTATTTGCATAATGTTCATTAACTGTCGCAGGCTTGATTGTTCCTGCATTTCCATACTAATTGCTTTCTGTCCCCGTTCTTCCCTTCTTTATCTTCTTAATAATAAATAATGAATATATATTATTTGTTAAATTAATATATATATATATATATCGTGGATGCGCACTGCTGAAGCGTCCCACAGTAGTGCTTCCAGCTTTCCCATGATAATCTAGTTTCAATTTAAATTACTATAATATCCACAAAAACCCTTCTGATATAAATCAACATATGCTCACGGGTGACTAGCTTCAAGAGGTATTCCCTGGAGTTCCAGTGATAAGCAGTGACCGGTGAGTCCAACTGTGTCTGTTTTGAGACAGGAACTCACTGAAGGCAATAGTGAACGGTCGTGCAATTTCGTAGATTGGTTGAAGTTAGACATTAACACCGTTGGATGCCGGCTTAGTGGTCTAGAGGTTGTGAGTGCGCGCTCGAGACCGACAGGCCCTGGGTTCGACTGGTGTGTGTAGTATAGTGGAGGAGTACTACTGAGGAGTTCCATACTAGGATGAAATGGCCGTCCAGTGCTTCCAGATTTTCCATGGTGGTTTAGCTTCAATTGACTCATGAACTCAACTATTAAATTACTACAATCTCCACAAAAACCCCCTTCTGAAAATATATTATAGTTTCTTCACTATCTGTTAATGTGTACATAAACATTTGTTGGTTTAACAAATTTTTATGATAACTATCAAATATAACGAATATAAATGTATACATTGGTAGTAAGTGTCAGTTTTTCAAGAAATAGGAATCTACCTTTTCAACACATTCATGTGAAAGCTGACGACAACAGAGATTAGAGAAAATACATTAACTACTGAAGTATTTAACATTGTAACCTCCTGTAAGCTCTTTATAAGAACATTCAGTAGTAAGTAGCAGATTGGTAATATCAGTTAGTTAAAATAGATAATCGGAAATATGAACAAAAGTTAATTTCATGATATGAATAATTAGGAAAAGTGTAGTTATGATATTTAAGATAGCCGCCATATTTTTAAAACCCAACAAAGTTTATTAAACAACGATTAGGTATACTTAATATGTTAACTTAAATCTCTTACTAATTATGTTTATGTAATATGACATTTTAGATCAATTATGGTATTTTTGTTAATAAAGCTAATAATTCTTTTTCAAAAAAACACTATCTCGTCTTTATATAAAGCTGCTCCTAAAATCAGTCCTGACGCACCTAAACAAGTAAATGTTACAAAAGGTGAACCGTTTAAAATTCGTATCCCGTACACTGGAAGTCCACCAGATGTTGTGGAAGCTACCAAAGTGAGTTTACTACTTTCAAATTTCTTATGTAATGTAATTTAATTCAATTACTGTTACTATATCAGTAATATTATAGTGAACGAGAATACAAGTAGGAACAATCGAATGTATTTGAACATAAAATTATAGAATCTCCTACGAAAATCTGGGAACTATACAGTAAATTATTGGTTTACAAAATATCATTCAATCGTAATAGTCTTCATTGTTCTTTCATTTCCACACTAATCATTTTCTTTTCTCGTTATCCATTCTTCAATGTTCTCAACTTTCTGCCTACAGATATTTCACTTTCGATTCATGATGTATACTACTTATATCTGTCGACATCAGTAGCACACACCACAATAAGACTTTACTCAACCATATTTAGAAAATATTTTCGTAATAATAATATTTTCATATCATTCATTTGACATTTAAATCGATCGCATATTTTTTCATAGTGTACAGTGTATCAAGACTAAACGTGGAAAATAATTTGATCTTTTTAAGACAATTTCAATGATTAAATAGGGCAATGAACATTTGGTTACTGTCACTTTCTATATTAAAGTTACTAATCAAGGATCATTTTCTCCTAAATAAGTTTCATTCTAAACTGTTTTTTTTGCTTTCAGAAAACATATTATTTGTCTGTCATTTTAAAATCTAATGGTTAACACCAAGGTTTTCGGTGATACTGCATGACAGTCATTTGAAATTTGTTGGTATCAACTAGTCACTAGATATAAATTAGGTAGAATATGGAGAACTGAATAACTAAAAATTTGATTTTATTAATGAGTGACTCTATATAAAAATCATCAAACGGCTCTGTTACTTCAAATTACGATTCATGAATAGACACATTTGATACAAAAATGTATCGTTATTGGGCTTATATTTATTGTACATATACTTGTTATTATCTATTTTGATTGCTCTCACTCAGTATATATTTGTTTGCCTTCAAGTCAACAACTTATTAATGAAATTTAAATTAAACAAGTGACATGAATAATGTGATATCAATTGTTGATCTATCGATATTTGTTTTATTTTTTAGGATGGTGTACCAGTTATCTTAGATGATGGTCGATTCGTCGTAACTATTACACCTGACGAGGTGATTATCGTTGGGAAGAAAGGAGATAAACAAGATGAAGGGCCATATAAGATAACATTAAAAAATGATAAAGGTCAAGATACTTTACCAATTAAAATTAATGTTCTTGGACCACCAGATAGTCCACAAGGACCACTTGAAGTGAAAAATATCAAGTCAGATTCATGTACACTTGGTTGGAAGCCACCGAAGGTGAGTTGAGATAATCAAAGTTTCTTACAATAAATTATAATATATAAGTGTTACACTTCAAGCTGTTAGATGTAAACCAGCTATTTGTGACCCAAATTCAAGAGTACAGATATCATCTGAATAAAATAAACTAGCTAACCAAACAATATCTACGACAATATATATTATCAAAATAATTACAGAATCCCCTGAAAGATCATCAAAGTGAAATTGATTATAGTCAGGATAAATAATAAATTACCAATTTAGATATTTATATTGTCATAAACATGTAGGAAAGTGTTATTGAGATAAATAAATTAAATCAAATTGAACAATATTTCGAATTAGATTTTCTGACATCTCATGATTCCGTATAAGCCACTTCTTGAGAGAACAAATAACTAAATCAAAATTAATCCAAGTTTAAATAGTACAAGGGAAAAACACAAGTATATTATGTGCGATCAATAAAGATCACAGGTCTGAATAAATCAATGTCGTGTTATTTCGGTCAAGGTGATTCATAAGCGACATGTATGTAAATTTGTGTGTATGTGTGCACAGTTAAGGATGAAAAATGTGTAACTTTTATGATTAGATTGACCTCACATAATATTCTTGTGTTGTTTCTTTGTACTATTTAAACTTGGATTCATTTTGATTTAGTTATTTATTCTCTGAAGAAGTGACCTACACTGAGTCACGAAACATGACAAAATGTAATTTTTCTACTCATTGGAATATACTCAATTTGTTCGAAATTATCAAGTCAAACCTTTATAATCATACTTACAATATTTTGAATTGTTGCGTATACAAATAAATTACAATGATCCAAAAATGGTAAATATTAAATGTGTAATAGTGAAATCTAAAAAATGGATAAAAGTGAATACTTGACTTTATTGAAGCTTTAACCATGTAAAAGTTCAAACTTCTCTTGTGTATTAAAAACAGTTTACAATTAAATTAACTTGACTCTGAAAGTAATATTTTTTTAGTATCATTGTGATTTCTAATATTGATGGTAATATGAGTAGTGCTTTACCTGTCGTTATTGTCGTTATTCTTATGTTCCAGTTTATCTACTTAAGGTTGTTTTTTTTAAATATTTTTGATCAATATGTTAATAATTTGACGTTTGATTAGTTTATTCACAAAGTACTGAGCTAATATGTCATATTGGTTTTGATGAACTCTATCTTCACATTAAATTACCTAATTAATAACCTATAAGTGTAAAGAGAGATTACTTGATAAGTAGATAGGTTTTAAAGTTTCACTTATAAATACACTCTTCCATTGTAGTCAAGTTGTTTCTTTCTAAATCAATAACATTCGATTAAGTTCATCTTATCAATGGTGATTTCAAGAGAAAATACATTTCAAGTGGATGTATTTATGTAAGCATAAAGCATGAATTGTTCATTTTCAGTTATTTAACAGTTATATATCATGATTGAATTGTATCATAATAAGGTAATTCATTACACGATTATCTAATCATTAATTATCGAGGTAGTTTTAGACAATTTCTTATATTCTAAAAGTGATATGTATCACACATTTGCATCAGCTAAAAACCAAAGTGATCTGAATATTTTTAGTTTCGATGCATTATGAAACGATCTGCATACAACAGGGTCTTTCAGTAAATTCGGGTTTTTAATGATTAATTTAATAAATGAAACCTAACAATCATACTTAAACTTTAAAACATAATTTTAGGAAACTGGTGGTTGTCCAATAACTCATTATGTAGTTGAGAAACAAGATCAAAGTACTGGCGAATGGACACCAGTCAGTAAATTTGTACGTGGTACAGAATACGATGTACTTGGTTTAGATGAAGGCAAGAAACATAAATTTCGTGTTCGAGCTGCAAATGAATTTGGTCTTAGTGAACCACTTGAACTAGATCATACAATTACAACAGAGAATCCATCAAGTAAGTTATGATTTGATTTACATTTAAAGTTATTTTACATAACGGAGTGATATCAAGCTAGGCGACGGAGTGAAATAGCTATCAGAATGATGAATTTCAATATTCTATTTTTAAATCATTTCAGTTAAAATGATGTATGATATAAATTTTGATATGGTTAAGTTGAATGATAGCTCTGTTATAGGATTTTACAGTTCCCATCAAAGTTACATACTGTTGTGACTTTAAGTTGAGGTTGCTTTTTACCCTGTGCTAATTGTTGTGTCCTTGACTGAAAAACTAGAGAGCAGCGTATTTATCGATCGATTTAATGATACGTAAACACTTACGAAAGCAATGGACGACCTAGAGTTACGATTGGTCCCGATTCCCTGTCTACCCCAGCCAGTTGAGTCCAGAAAACAAACCTCAGCCTCTGAGTTATGAATCATTGTATTTCACACATACTCTATTTATATACTAACCAAACATACCACATCGTACCATAAAAATAGAAAACAACATTTTGTACCATATTCAACAAGTGGACAGATATCGACCAGTAGGAAATGTCCATTTAAAGTCCAAGGACACCATTGGACTTAACATGATAATTATTGGTCTATACTTCGCATCCACAACACATACATATAATATTGTCTAGAAAGATAATGAATGCTTCATTCACGTAAGATAAAGCAACTGTACAATTATGGTAATTACATTTACTATCGTATATACTGTGCTATAGATTTCTTTACTTTATCTAAGTATATAACATTGAACAAAATAGTGAGTATTTTAATTATAATTGTATATGACTTTTTTAAAGTTGATTTTATTTATTGCTTTGATTATTATTTTAGCTGAACCTGGAGCACCAGGCAATGTTGAAGTAGCCGATGTTGATTCAAATTCAGTTACATTAGAATGGTCAAAGCCAAGATCTGATGGTGGTAGTAAAATAAACGGTTATGTAATCGAGTTTAGACCAGTAAATGGTGGAAGTTGGGAGAAAGCGCCAACAGGACCTATTAGAGGAAATAGTGGAACAGGTAAACAAAATTAATTCAATTGATTTATATCGTGTATTTTGCTGTATTTTGATACAATTAGTACCATAAGTAGTCAGTACTAATTACAATGAATTAGTTCAAGTTAAATGATTTCACAATAAAATAACCGAATATTAGATTAAGTTGAAGATAAAAGGTAATGGAATACAAAGACATTCAAATATCAAGGTTAAAAGTGGGAACATAAACTGACGTATCTCTATGAATGATAATTTTGATAAATGGTAACCTAAGCTTTTAAATACTGATATTTTAATCTTTCAAATTATGTGGAGTTAGTCAATAGGTTGTTTTTGGAATAATCTATGCTTATTTCAGACATGTGACAATACAATGAGAAACGAACATTTTTATCATTCTTCAGACAATTCACAGTTTTAACACTGGATCCAACATTTTGATTAAGATTTTCATTGTATAACATTCAAAGGGAATGTAACATTTACAGTATATAAAATCATGTTCTTCATATTGAAAATGACTCAACACTTAACTTATCATTGAACAAGATTAAACTGTAATGAATAAATTCTGCAGTGTTTATCACATCCAAGATTCTGGTATCAGTTTTTAAATTCAAAATGGTTTAATTACTTATTATTCAAGATTATATTAAACAGAACTATTCTATCATCATTGAATAATTCAAATGAATGAGAATTAACATTGATAGCATACAGAAATAGTTTTATGTTTGTACCAGACTTATTTCTTAAGTGAATTTATAAACAAAATTCATCATCTTTAAATGTTTCTCCATGTTTCACTTTTTTGTTGTTGTTGTTGTTGTTTAAATCAATTTTCATCATTGTTTCTACAGTGACTGGTCTTTCCCCCGGTGAAAAATATGTATTTCGTGTTCTTGCTAAAAATGATGTTGGCACTAGTGAACCAAGTTCATCAACACGACCTATTGAATGTAAACCAAAATATGGTAATTCATTTAAACTTTTCTTTGTCATTTTGCTTATTATTATAATTATTATTAAACTGATAATATTTTATTCTATGTATCAATTCTCTCTTATATGAAGTTGTATATTACTTACAGAAAATTATTAGTATGAATCTGTCGAGTTGGAGTCAATAATTATTCAGAGAACATTACAGTAACCAGGAAATTCTCAAAATCCTTTTAGTCAATCAATTTCCTCAATGATTTCAGGGAGTTGAAAAATTTATTCTCTTCTTTATATCAGTTTTTTCAAACTCAAATACTAATACTAATTTAGTTTCCAAAGTTCTAACTTTACTTATGATTATGTTAATAAACAGTTAAGTTTTATATCTAACCTAACTCAACCTTAGAGTAAAGCTTCGATTATCTTTGACTTATTTATTATTTTACAAATGTTCAAGATTCTTAAATTGGTGGAAATTTAGACATTTTCGAGAAACTAGTATAGGAGTTGTGGAGATTATTAAGTTTTTGATTGAGATCATGAACCAATTGATGTTAGACCATCACAATTGAAAACCTGGAAGCACTGGACGACCGTTTCGTCCTATTGTAGGACTCCTCAGCAGTGCACATCCACGATCCCGCGAGCGGAATTCGAACCCAGAGCTTTCGGTCTCGCGCCCGAACGCTTAACCAACTGGACCACTGAGCCGGCATCCAATGGTGATAGATTTTAGCATCAACCAATCCACGAAATTGAGCGACCAACTTCTATTGTACTGAGGTAGATAACTGTTTCTACCCGACAAGGAAAGCCAACATTTTCTTCCGAAACCTAATAAAATTAATTTTATAATATTGTTCAGTTTAAGTGACCTCATAATATCGTTAGTTTTATTGTACCGTTACTTTAATTTATCAATAATTACACACAAAATTATATGGTCATTGGCTTTTACATATGTATCTGATTGACTATTTCGTTGTTCCATATAATCAGATCGTATATTTTAATAATCCACTTCATATTTTTACAATGTTTCATTTTTCTAAAGGAATTCCTCATATGTGATTGGATTTAGCAAAAGTAACTTGTGATATTTTTAAATGACACTTGATTCCAAGTTTAGGCATACAATCATCAATCTCATCGATTCATCATAAGAAAGTTTTAGGACCAGATTAATAGCATTTAATGAGTGAAAATATTTGTCATTCATCATTGTTGTTCATGATCTTCTATATATGTTTGATTATTGATGGAATATGTTTTAAATCAACAGTTATTTGTTTAAGTAGTTGTTTTCACATTATTTGAATACTTTTGTTATTTCTGCATAACTCCTAGTTATATTACAATGCGTATATTATTACATCAGCACAAATATAAATCCCTATTCTCAATGCAAAAAGCAAGGAATAGGTGATAATTAATAAATGTATTTATTATATTAGTAGAATAGTGTATGTGTAGCTTAACAAATGATTCAAAAAAGTGCAAACTATTGGTTGCACTAAATAAACATAATGACAGCGAATGTTAACTGAAGTAAATCAGTGTTCTCTTTTTTAATACATTTTTCCCACTCAAAGTACTAGCAGGTAGCCCGAGTGAACCTAACGTTGATGGAGTTGGCAAGAATTGGATTGATTTATCATGGTCAAGGCCAAACAACGATGGTGGTGCTAGAATTACTGGATATATTGTTGAAAAGCGCAAAAAAGACTCTCCAGATTGGGAGGTAGCGACATCAGATGGTAAACCTATCAGCAGTAACTACGTACGTCTTGATAATCTTAATGAAGGAGATATGTATCAATTCCGTGTCAAAGCAGTTACTGCAGCTGGACCAGGTGAACCAAGTAATCCGACTCCCATTATCAGAATTGAAGAAAAGAAACGTAAGTAAATTTATGTTATACTTATTAGAAAAATATTTACCTAATATTTTGTCTAGAAAGCGTAAATTTCCAATAGACAGGTGAGAATATTTTGAAAAAGTCCTTTGATTAATGTAACTACCAGTATAACGACAATGACGCAATCAGAAATCGATTACCACTATCATAAGATTATCTAATAAAGTATTGAGAGTTTAAGAAGCGAATTTCAGATTATAACTGTTCGACATGATTGTCCCGTAACTTTTTTCCCAAAAGGGTTTGATTTATAATGTTGTGATGTTTAAATAAGTAATTGCTTTTATCTACTGATAAAATCTACCATAAGATAATCAAATGTGTCTGTAATTACGAATACGATTAATTTCGAAGGGTATGCGTTTGAACAGACAAAAACATTTATCGTCAAACCATTCATTAAAGACAAATATTAAAGGTCATTAAGCTAGAAAATATGCTTATACGAAGTCATATGAATTAGCGAACCGTAAAATAACCGAACACTGGACACCTGATTTATTTCATGATTATATATATATTAATAGTTCATAAATTAATCCTGGCAGCTACCATTCCTCAAAACTTTCTCAAATAGAAAATTTAACAAGTGTACCAGCTTTGTACGGGTTCTCTATTTGTACACTACTGGCCGAGTTAGAGCTTGTGGAGAACTATCATCGAAATCATGAACCTCAAGTAATCTTTATCAAGATCATCTACTTTCTCCATTTCGATGTAATTTTGCTGTAGACATTCTTATGCAGATAACTCTTACATCTTTTAAGTTTTCACTAATTGACCTACAAGGAGGTAAATTTTCCGACTTATAACACGCACATGACTTAGTTCTGTTCGGAGATGAAGCTGATAAAATGGAAAGTCTTCTAATCACCTTTAGTGGCAATACTAACATGATTGAGCTGAGGTTCTCGTCCTTCAAATGCAAAACGTTGCTACAGAGTTGGCTTGCGTCAGCGCCAGAATTAACAATAGGGAGTAAAGTAGTTGAGCGCGTTGACTGCTTCACTAATCTTGGGAGTCTCAGTGCTAGTGGTATGGTGTCTGACAAAATCTGGGTATGGATCTAGAAGGCTCTGTTGGATTTTTCCAACTTGTTTCACTTATGACGTAGACGAGACATCTGTCTTTCAACCAGAGGACAAGTTTACTGCTTAATAGTTCACTCTGTCCTATTTTATGGATGTGAAACGTGGCTATTAAAGATAGAAGATACTCTTAGGCTGCTAGTATTCGATTACAAATGTCTTCGGAGAATCATTCATGTATTTTGGCACTACTGAGTGCCCACTATTGAGCTTAAGCAAAAGGTATTAGGTAAACATTTTGAATCGATTGACGAAGTAGTGAATATTCATTAACTAAGGTGCTTGAGACATGTGATATGCATATGATCAAATAGTGACTACCTCAATGCTATGTTTCTTAGTGTGAGAGCATTTTGGTAAACAGTAAGAAACAGTCCAGTGGAGATGTAGCACTAGTTTGTGAATTTACTGATAATTGGACTTGACTATGTCAATAGGTGCATGATCAGTGATTGGAGACTTTCGGTTATATAATTCAGAATTATTCGCAATGGCTCAGGTGAACTCACTCTTAGTCTTCCTTTATATCCTGAGTTCTGAAATCTCTTTATACTCTCGTTTCCTTTCTATACCTGGTTTTTCTTACGACTAGTGTTACTTTTACCCCTTCCGCCACTCTGGTATTTCTCTTAATAACTTTATCTCATTGTGCTATTGTGATATGGCAACTTGGATCGACTCACATATATTCCCGGTTCTACGTTGCATGTCTGGATGATTGTTGGAAATCTAAGGACCAAACCTTTCTTTAATCATATGTGTATACCACTTACAAGCTCAATATAACTAAGGTAATAAGGAACTGAACAAGTTAAGGGAGTTTAGAAAATCCATTTAAGAATTTATATATATTTATTAGATAATATTAATATGATTCAAAACTCCAAATATTTTTTCCCACCAGTTTGTAATTTAGCTAATAATCAATGTATTCTTTCTTTTAAACGAAAACCAGCTACCGCAATACCTGATTTTGTCACGAAAATTCGTCCTACAACTGCACCTATCGGAGGCACAGCTGGATTCGAAGTACAAGTTGATGGTCAACCACTTCCTTCTGTACGCTGGTTTAGAGATGGTATAGAACTTTTACCAGGTAACCGTATTAAGATCAATCCACCTGGTCCTGATGGAAAAGCGAGCATTGAAATACATGATCTTGATGAAAAAGATAGTGGGACAATAACTTGTCAAGTTTCAAATCCTTCTGGTAAAAACTCATGTTCAGCTCCATTTGAAGTATTGGGTAGGTTTGGTGACGTCCATACACCTAATTATAATATGAATTATTAAATTATTAAGAAAAACCTAACAATTCCCTAATTTGATATTTATTTGTTTTCTTTGCATAGCAATACCCAAGATACTGGGTAATATTGATGATAAAATGGCTTCAGAAGGTGATCTTGTTAAACTTAAAGTTCCTTACTCTGGTCGAGGATCTATCACGTTGAAATTAAAGTGTAATGGTCATGAAATACCGGAATCTAGTCGAGTTAAATTGATGGATTTAGATGGAACAGCATCTATTCAACTAAAAGGTAATACTTTTATTGAATTAAATTTATGTACCTAAATACAATCGTGTTAGATAAATTTAAGCAGAATATGCACGAAGTTGTGATAAACTAAATAATGATTAACCTGAATTTCTTCATCTTAATGAAAGAAATAGAATATATCTGTAGCTAATTATTTTTAATGATATGTGTGTGATACGAGTGTGATAACACAAAAACCTCATACAAATCTCTTTAAGTTACTATAAATCATAATATTTTACAAATAATCACCCAAAACCCAGATTCAATAAATTATAAAGAAAGATAGATCCGATTAGAAGGCGGTAACTAATACCTGAATGCTGATATGATGTCCAAAATCTAACTAACCATCTATATATGACACATAAAAAACTTTAATTATGAAACCTAGACCTACCTACACAACTAATTCTTGAGTTGATATCATGTCCTAGTCTTCCCAATTTTAAGGTTCTTGATGCTCGCTAATTATAGTCAAAAATGTATATCAAATTATGTATAAGCTTCATTTAGGCACCTTTTCTATTTAAACAGTTGAGATCATGAGTCAATTGAATCCAGACCACCATGGAAAACCTGGAAGCACTGGACAGCCGCTTCGTTCATGGTGGTCTAGCTTCAATTGACTCATCATATCAACTGTTTAAATTACTACAATCTCCACAAAACCCCTTCTGATACCTTTTCTATTGTAAATTTATAATCTCATCAATCAATATGCATTAGAATTAGCTTGAAAATTATTTAGATGATCATTTGATTGTAAGTCAACAGTTTCTTATGAGACACGTATCCTTTAAATAAAAACAGTTTTTAAAGTGTATTCACAAATATCAGTTTATACGGCATTTTCCTCATTCATCTTAATTCATTATAAAAGTTTCAAATATCAAATAAAAGAAATTTCTATTCATTAATGATTTGGATTGTTCTTCATGGTTGTTATAACTTGTGACCTGTGTGCCCTGTTAATGTATAACGTGATAATACTACCAATTAAAGAACATTAATTTGTCGATCTGATCAATGATGCATAAAGCCCGTGCGAGCAGTCTAGAGTACTTATCGGTCCTACTTCCTGCCTAGCCCAGGCAGTTAAGTTCAGAACACCAATCTCAACTTCATCAATACGAATCGGGATATAACAATAGTATAGCTTTATTAACAGTAGTTTATTTTGTCTAATTAATTTAACTATGTATTTTGGTTGATGTAGATGTAACAAGAAATATGAGTGGATACTATACTTTAGAAATTGGCAATGAGAGTGGTTTCAGTTCAGTACCATTCAATTTAAAAGTAACATGTAAGTTATGGTAAAATAATAGCTAAAGTATTACTGTAAAATAATTGTTTACTTTCTTCATTTTCGATATTTATTATTTTATTTGAAAACTGTCTAGTTAGTTGTTTTTGTAGTTTAAGCGTTCTTTGCGATTCCTAGAAGTCCAGGATTCGAGGTCTAATAAGTTCGTGGATGTCCACTAGCCATTGAACCTGGTTTTCAATGATGTTTCAACTAAGATCACTGTGTGACGAATAAACTCTAAAAATATCTGTCAGTTTATTAATATATTGTCACTAATACTTAACTGTTATGTAAAAATGAATACTTAAATGTGAATAATATTTATGTTATACTGCTGTGTACTTACGGCTGATATGTCACATGAAATAGTTATAATAGACTATAAAAAGGAGATGAAGCTCCGAATAAGACTCCGGGTTAGAGAATACAAACTAATGTAAGAAGTTATGAACTTAATTTCATAGACACATTAAGCTATGCTTCAAAGTAGTCTATGCGACACTTGCTGCTGATGATATTAGTGTTCAAATTAAAAAAAAAAAGAAATCCTCTTTCAAACACAATTTTGAACGTAGCTTCTAATTATCTCTCCGATTCCTCTAAGTTTCAGTAAACTATTACTGCGCATGTTTCATGGCTTTTAACAAAACTGGCCATTCCTTTTTTTATCTAATTTATATGGTTCATAACTTAGTAGTAGTTTAAAGTTGCAAAAATTCAGTCCTCAAATGTGTGATAAACCTATAGTTTCTGTAGTGTCTTTCGAGAACTTAACTCTTTAACTAATCGTAACACAAATAAAAAAACTACTAGACCTCCTTTATTGGTACTTACGCCATCAAGCCAATAATGTAAGTATTGCTATTGTATAAACTGTAGCAATGTTAGGGGTAGCTAAATAAGCTAATAATTACAGTCATTTGATATGAAGTCATCCGCTTTAAAAACATAAACATATATTTTTGAACTTTTATAGCTCCTCCGGGAGAATGTCAAGGCCCGATTACTGTTACGGATACAACACCTTTCAGTACGCGATTGTCATGGAAACCTCCAAAGGATGACGGGGGATCAAAAATTACTCACTATGTTATCGAGCGTCAAGAGGTTGGTAAAGATCGCTGGGTCCCTGTATCATCTGGTAGTAAGGAACCAAATTGTGAAGTACAAGGTCTTCAGGAAAATACACATTATTTGTTCCGTGTGGCTGCTGTCAATGATTGTGGTCAAGGTGATTGGTTCCAAGTGCCCAATGAAGTAATTGCTAAGTATCCGTTTGGTAAGTCATTGAAATATTTTCAGTCGTGTCTGTTGTCAAAATTGAATTTGGGACTAAGAATGTGATAAGTCGTGTGGATTCGAACGCTACATTAGTTTCCTAAGCTATTCCGGTAACCCGCAGTCTTGAACTACACAGCAACCTGAACACCAGAGAGAGGACACAAGTATGAGAGAAAATACTTTATCCCAAGGTTCATTTTAGTACATAAAAATCAAGTGTATTTATAGATGTTGGCGTCTGTTAAATCAACATCATATTTCAGCCAATCCGTTAACGTCATATTATGCTACCGACCAATGGTAGCACGCCACGCTGGAATTCTCGAACTTTCCATCATACTCTGATTGGCTAGGACCCTTAGGCTCCTTTTTGGGCCTCTGGAGGCTCCGTTGAAGTTCTCCGGAAGCCGACCCAACAGAATGTTTGTGTATTTGTAGAAGTAGAAGCTTTCTCGAACCAAACCTATCTAAAAACAGATAATATTTGAAATTTTGACCTCACAAAATTCATGGGATTTAATTTTAAAATTATTATTAAATAAATGTTTTACGACATAAATAAACATAGCGCCTGGTTTTATTGGATGTAAACCGACTTTCCTCACTAAATTTGCTCATCCCTTTTCTATTCTCACTTACCGTGATATAATTAGACAGTTAGAAGTATCTGAATTTCTCATACAAAATCTGTTGCACAAAAACAAGTACTTAGTTAGATATATACAGTTAATCATAGTATGAAGGAGTACGCATAATTGTTTGATAAAATAATTCCCATATGAAACGTTTTATTTCACTAACATCACTGAACGTGGTCACACTAAATACTGTAGATACTGTAATCATGGTTACTAAAAATATTCAACTAACCACTATAACTGAATTTTAAATTTTACAAAACCATATATTAACTATAAGTATGAAATTATTCTTTTTGTAGACAAACCTGGAAAACCAGGTGATTTAACTGCTAACGAAGTTGGTGGAGATTTTGTTAATCTTGCATGGACTAGACCTTCCACAGATGGTGGTGGTCGTATACGTGGTTATATTGTCGAAAAACGTGAAGTTGGTGCACAGAACTGGTCGCGTGTCACTCCAAATCCTATACTTACACTCAGTTACAATGTTCCGAATTTGATTGAGGATAAAACCTATGAGTTTCGTGTTATGGCTGTCAATGATGCTGGCGAAAGCGAACCAACTATGATAGATCGACCCGTGTGTGTTAAAGATCCTAAAGGTAGAGAATTTTTTAATTTCACAAAGTTTTCTCTTGAAGAGTTTAATATTTTAGTTACGGTTTCTTATTTTAAATATGCCTAAATTGTGACTAACCTTACTTTTTGTTTTCATATCGAAATACCGACAGTTTCATTTATTTTTCAAAGATGCATATGAAAGAACAGAATAAATAGTTGGGAGGCACCATTTTTAAATCAGTGAATGGTTGAGAAACGTTGTTATAAATTAATGAGTGTGATTGGTCAATACCTCTCCCTCCAGATATATCTGGATTGAGTGAATGAATCAACCATAGAATTTGGTAGATATTTAGTCACAGAAGTAATAAGATAGTTTCATTCATTGGTAAAGCGACTGAATCTCCCCAATAAATCATAGTTTTTACTTGTATGCTTCAACATAAATCAAAACATCGATCTATGGTATTCAACAAACAAGTGGTAATCGTTGAGTGAACCTTGATGAGTGGTATAATTTTAGATTGTTGATAATATAATCTGCAATAAATTTTACTGCGTTTATGTAAAGTTTGGTGGTTTTTGGAAAATTCAATAGTTTTGAAATCACTGTCTGTGTAGTAGAGTATCACTGAAAAATGAGGGTTTATTGGACGGATTTTTTTTTCTCTGTACTTTAAATCCTTAGTATTTTAAACCCGAACAGGTTATGAAGTTCCACACTAAAAATTTAATTCTTATAAATTGTATATTGGCATTTATCAAATGGGTTGCGAATCAATAATCTTGTGCTTTTCATATTCCATTGATTCACTATTTGATTAGGCTACCATCTAGAGTGAAGTTCAATTGGAAAGGGATATTAATGAGACCACGGACTGATCTATATTGAGCAACTATTAAGAATCTGAATGCCTAACTTAGATCTGTTCGGAATCTCAATAGAATTCAACTAACTTCAAAGGGATGATTAGACATGCCTTTTTGTTTTAAAGGTTTAGAGTTTTGTTTAGTTGATCATCATTCGGCATCTGAAAATTTTACATTACATTATCATAAAATATTTTTCAAATTTAGCTCTTAGTTACATCTATGGTGATTTTCATGTTTTGAAATGGTTTAATTTTATTTACTTTCTAATTTTTCTTACTTAAAAAGCTGTTTCACGACCGACTTTCATCAGTGGTCTTAAACCACAAATTGTGAATGAAGGTAGAGATGCTGTGTTTGAAATTGAAGTCGACTGTTCATCGAACTACGATGTAGTATGGTCAAAAGGTCCTCGAGATCTTGTTGAGTCCCATCGTATTGAAATGACTAAAGAAGGACACCTCCACTATTTAACTATTCGTAACTGTGGCCTTGAAGATGCTGATGAGTATAGCATCAAAGTTTCAAATCGAGGTGGTTCTAAAGTCAGCCGAGCACCACTGTCTGTCAAATGTAAGTGTAATGTTTTACTTTATAATAGACAAGGGTTTCATTCAAGTTTCATATAATTTTTATAAAATGGTAGTAATATATTAATTTAAATGTACAACAAATTGCTTTATCACTTTTTTTTGTAGAATTCAGTTTTACCAGGAATATTGATGTCATTAGTTATTAGACCAACAATTATTAATTCCACGGCTAGCCACTATAGAAATATATGTGGTGCATAAAATGAATGATTTGCAAAATTTGTACTGACAGTAATTTTAAACAACTACTGAAAACTTGTAATGTTAGTCAATAGTCTTGAAGTCTATTCATATCCGTTTATCATAACACCTACTTTATAGCTATTGCATGGTTGTGGCAACATAATGTTATGATTGCTTGTTTGTTTAAGTCTGTGATGAAACAGTAAGTATTAACATTAACAGTTGTTATAACTTTATGATGTCAAAAACGTTCCATAACTGATTGTTCAATGGCGTCACGCAAAGATAACGTAGAATAAAAAATTGTCCTACATGAACGTTTTAAATATAGTTGTCTGTTATTATTTTGACATTTTATCCTACACAAAATTTTAATTAAATCTAGTATAATTTAAGGAAGAATAATTCGTGAATTGGTTGAAGTTAGACATTAACACCGTTGGATGCCAGCCAGCTCATTAGTCTAGATTTTAAGCGTTCGCGCGCGTGACCAATAGGTTCCGGGTTTGAATCTCGCGATGACGGATCGTGGATGTGCACTGCTGAAATGTCTCACAATATGGGCAAAACGTCCGTCCAGTTCTTCCAGGTTTTCCATGGTGGTCCAGATTACATGAACTCATGATTTCAACTATTGGAAAAAACTCATTCATTGAAGTGATAATTTGCACTTTATAGTTATTGTCTTAATATAAGTAGTATTATAAATTTGCAAATAACTAACGTAAACAAAGAAAGATGTGAATTTGTTAAGTGAAGTTTAAATGTTAATAAGTTAATTTTAATTACATAACTTCAAGTTAAACGTTTATGAAAATGACATTTTTTTCTTGCTGGTTGAAGATTAATTTTAGTTATGTAGAATCAGGCTTTAACTAATTTCAATATTATAATATTCTGCTTGTCTTAAAAAAAATGCTTAAATTGACGGTAACTCACAAACACAATGAGAACACAGTTTATACTAATATTATTGCGATATTCAACCAAACAGTTAATACAGTCAACTATAGCGGCCTGCATGAATATCTGAGTTACCTGGTCGTGCTAACTTGATACATCAACAAGTTTTCTGTTTTCTTGTTTGTTTTAACACTTCATTATACCTATTAGTCTCATAATCTATTTAGATGCGTTTATGAAACGTATATGATCTTTCGTTGTACAAGTCACAAAGAAGTTCAATTTTAAACATTGTAGTGGCTGGTGATATGTATTGAAAAGAATGCATATTATTCAGATGTCAATTACTGAACTACAAACATTTAACTGTTGATCACTCAATATTTATCGTCTGGATATATCAAGAAATAAGAAAAGGAAACTTGTTGAAATACTTTATGTTGAGAATTCTATACTGTACCAGAAATATAATATTAAATAAAGCTATTACTTACTTACTTACGCCTGTTACTCCTCGTGAAGGAGCATAGGCCGCTCACCAGCATTCTCCATCCAACCCTGTCCTGGGCAATCCTTTCTAGCTGCGTCCAGTTGTAATTCATCGTTTTCATATCTGCTTCTATTATCCGATGTAATGTGTTCTTAGGCCTTCCTCTTTTCCGTTTCCCTCCAGGATTCCAAGTTAGGGCCTGTCTCGTGATGCAGTTTGATGATTTGCCTAATGTATGTCCTATCCATTTCCATCGTCTTTTCCTAATTTCTTCTTCAGCTGGAGGCTGATTTGTTCTCTCCCACAAAAGGCTATTGCTAATGGTATCTGGCCAATGGATGTTGAGTATCTTGCGTAGACAGCTATTTATAAATACTTGTACCTTCTTGATGGTGGATGTTGTAGTTCTCCAAGTTTCAAATAAAGCTATTAAGAATAATAAGAATAAAACCAACAGAATCACTCCAATATACATCAAATATATGCGTATATGAGTTCAAAGTTAATCATGTGAATATATATGAAGGTTGACGATGGAACATATAAAATCCCACATGTTTATCGATTATCATATTCATTATGGACATACAAAAAACTAAAGGGGTCTTATATGATTTTTGTGTTTCTTGACCAGAATTTTGATAACGTAATTTTACTTATGATAAAATATGCACAATTTTCAGTGTTATAGATACTTAGCCACCAACTCATTTGTAAATGTACTAAATAGTAGACATTGTGTTTCACCATGTGGTAATAATATTTCATGTTTGGGATATTTTGGTCAACCAATGTGTTGTGTTTGAAATGCATATTTTGTTAAGAAAACTTGTTATTGTCATATTCGCACTGTTTATTTTTCAGCTAAACCTCAAATACATTTACCAAGTCGTTGGCAAGAGCCTACAGAATGGGAACGTGGTGATTCTATTGTAATCAAAGTACCATATACAGGATTCCCTAAACCTAAAGCTAAATGGACATTAAATGGTAAGGATATAAGGGAAGGGAAAAATGTCAATACTCAGCTGAAAGATCGTCACGCTATAATCACCTTGGAGAATGTAGGTGAAGAATTCTCGGGCAAATTAAATATAACATTAGAAAATGAAATGGGATCAGATTCAGCAAATATTGAATTAAGAATAAACGATAGACCACCACCACCAGTCAATTTAAAGGTAGAAGGTGTAGCTGATGGATCAGCACTTTTATCTTGGAGTATGCCTGAAGGGACTGGGTATATTTCTCAGTATATCATTGAACGATGTGAAATGCCTGGTGATACTTGGATTAGAGCAGGTACTAATCGGTAAGTAAACTAGAGGTGTTAAGACTCATGGACCATACAATTTCAATATCATCTATTATAAAATATTGAGACATTAGTTAATGAATCTTTATAAACTTGGATATAAAATAATGAAATATCATAATATGCTGTTAACTTGCAATAATTCATTGAAAAGTGAACAGTTCAGCTGGTTATATATTAAGCATGAATTATGAAGGCAATTAATTAGACCTATGTATATAATTGTACAAGATTTAATTATTTTAATTATAACGAATTTTATTCCATCTTTAAAAGCATTTAATAACTCAAGGATATAATAATTGATCGTCTATAGAAATATGTCCAACTTCTAATTACTTTTCTGTACGGACAAATATCCTCTTCAAGGCTATCGAAAATCAGAAAGAACTAAATTGTTATTCCATTCTAGTTACAAACTTCTCAGACGACTATGCTCTTGACCCCATCTAGGTGGGGTCAAGACGTTTTGTTTACTGAAATACATAGTGTCCTTGTGTTCAGTACAGTATAAGATGGTGGTTGAACTTTGTTGAGATAAGCGAAGATAACTATATTTTATTGTCACCTGCAAATATAGCCACAAAACATTTACAACTTTTATCGTTAATTCAGTCTATAAGTTCTTTTCAAAAAACCAAATCTACTATCTTAACCTTACACTTATTACTTACTATTATTAGTTTCTCAACGTATAACTGTGAAGGGCTTGTCAATGGTAAAGAATATCGATTTCGTGTAATTGCAGAAAATCTGCATGGTCGAAGTGATCCATGTCAACCTACTGAAAGTCACTTAATTGCTGCAGATACTCGTCAGCGTGGTGTTCGTCGAGGACGCGAAGAAGGTCGTAGTGATTATACTGGACCTCCAATTGAAAACTATGATAGATTTCGTAAGTTTTATTCTAAGTAATGACAAACCACTTACTGTACATGAACCAATTATGAGATTTATTTTTTCTAGCGTTAGCAATTAAATATTAAACAAACAACACTTTCATAATCACATGATTGTCATTTTCGAACAAAGGAATTCAATGATTTTTTAATGTATCGAACACGATCATGTTTGTGAATTGGTCATTTAAAAGCAAATAATTTCATTCTATACTTCAGAAAACAAGCTTTTAAGTATCTATAACGAATGATTAACTTGGTATCATGATCCCTAATATGTGTGATGGTGCATTTCTAATGTGCTTTCCGTAATCTTTATTATTTATTTGGGGTGATTTTGTAGAAATACGGTTTCATAACAGATTGACATGAATTCAAAGATTGAAAAAAATAATGGACTATTAAAAACCCTGATGTTTACAGATTTAAAAAATGGTGTTGACATACAATTTTTTATACTTGTACTGAGCACAGAGATAAAAATGATTATATTCAGTAATGTTATTCATTTCTATTCGGTTTTATCCTTCATATTATGATTGAACCCCAACTGGAAATCATTATTCTTTAGTTCTTTCATGCATTCAAAGATTTCTCTCTTTTGTATTTAATCAACAAGCTATGTTAAAACAAAATACCACATCAAATAATTCGGAATTCTTAAAGCAAACCAAACTGTATGACAGATGGTTGTTTAATTAAACTGAATAATTTTTGTTTTATTGTTGACATTTTGAAGTGCGATCCAGTAAATCCAATCCTTTGAATTAATATCTTGAATTATTGCAGATCGAAATATTTGGGACAAGCAAATACCACTGCCAACTCAAGTTCATAAAGGTGAAAGTGTCTATGACTATTATGACATCATGGAAGAACTTGGGATGTAAGTTATCTAACAATAAGCAAATGGTTTCTTTAAGATATTTCGAATTATTACTTTGAATAAACATTCCAATTAAATGAAGTGTTTTAAAATAATTTATTTTCATGTTTCAAAACGATGATTGAATATAAAGTTAGACATTAGGTAAGAATTAGTTACGGTTATAGCGCTAACATACACTGCTAGACAAAATAGGTTTCCCAACTGTTTTGTTTTGATAATTCTCTTAAATGTTAAACTACCACTACTACATGTGATAACCAATCCTATCCTGTTGTTAGTTACTAAGTGAATTATTTCTTTTGAGTTCCTTATCCTGGACCTGGATTTAAAAAATCACTCGAAATACTACCGAAAATCCATTTTCCAACTTTGTTTTTCACAGTCTTATTGAAATTATACCTTTGATCTCAATATTTCTAATTTACGTAGCCAGTTTTGGTATTGCCTTCTGGCTAAACCACCGAAATTATTATTCTGTTCAGTTATTTAGTCCATTGTTTACGACGCATCGTCAAGTCACTCTACCATTATAATTCTGATCGTCAATACCCACTATATATATATATATCGCTTTATGAAATTTATTAGGTCGTTAGTGGCAGTTGGAAGAAAAATCTAGGCCTAAAGTTCTGTGTTATTTAACGGTTTTCGGCAAGGTGTATCTGTTATTTTGGAAGAACCGATGCTGCCAAAGGGGTTAGAGACCATATCACTCAGCTTCACACTCTGAGACGTTACCACTGAGCTTTTAGGGACTCAAATGACCTCCTGTAGAACCGATTTATCCACAAATGAGCGTTCATTTATTACCGAACAATTTATTGTTTGTCTAGTTCTTTGGTGCTGACCGAACTCTATCGACTGAATTTCAAGATAAATCTTACAAATGTAGACTACAGAAAAATACTATAAACAACTGATCAATAAAAGCTCTTTAAAAATTGTACCCAGCTTAATACAAGGTAGTTACGCAAGTTGTACAATCTTATACTTCCTCTCTCTTTTTTTAATAATTTAGTGGAACATTTGGTGCCGTTCATCGATGTCAAGAGAAGACTACGGGTAATTCGTATGCGTGTAAATTTGTGAACACTGATACACCACAAGATAAACATGTCGTTTTAAATGAAGTTGAAGTGATGAAAGAATTACATCATCCGAAATTACTCAACCTTCACGAAGTATTCGATGATAAGAATGATGTAGCGATGGTTATGGAACTGTAAGTCTTTTTCTTTGAATAAACATGAACGCAAGAATGGTGTGTAGTTATAACATTTGTTGCATATTTTAATGTTGAACAGCCATAGTTAAATTGGACCTATATTGATGGTTTATAGCTTATAATCGATCTAACATTACTAAATAATTTGATAACCGTGTCAAAAAAGACTCACAAATTCATAAGTCTTAGTAAGCTAAACTGTCTTGACTACTTAGATTTTAATCATACATAGAATTTTAGTGGTTTGACTTTTGACAGTTTTCTGGTACTTTAAGATGTTTTTTCCGGAAACTGACTAAACTTATTAAGTTAATGATTAGTTCTTTATCTCCTAATCATAAGATTTAAACTAGATTTAGGATAGATTAAAATCACTGCAGGGATCTCACTGGTAAATAATTCTGGATTATAATGACAGTTTAAGACGGATTCTAGGACTTACCTGTAAGGAACTATGATCTATATAATCCAATAATATTTAGAGTGAGACACGTATCACTAATGATACTTCGTGATAGTCCTGTGTTATTTCTAATGAAATAAAAATTAGATTCAATAAATTTCAACTCATTGGTCTATATGTTTAATACGGAGTCGCCAATACACATTACTGAGTAGTTTGAGCTCAGGATGAGACTTTTCAGTTCTCGCTGATTCTCACTATATATTTCCAATTGATGTGTTATTCATAAAAAACAATATCCAAATATTCACAAAGTTCTCATAGAAATTAGATCTATTTTGAATTATTCAAGTGTTTTAAAATATCAGAATACTAGTCATAGTTGATGCGAATGCAGCTGCACTTCAATTACTTAGTAACATGCTAAGTCCCCATGAAGTAACATTAAGAATATCGACAAGGCATCCTCATTCGTTCCGTTCGTTTGGCTATCAAGGCTTTAATAAAGTATTTATCTCAAGTTGAAAATCGTAATGTATACGTTACACGACATAATCTTCGTGAATTTATTACTGAAGCTCAGGACATCGTTTGGCTATGTATACTCGTGGTTCATGAAGAAATAATGTATTATGATTAGTTCTTGGGAATATTCTTTCTAACAGATTAATAACGAGTACTTAAGGAGCTGGAACTCTGTGTTTTGTATTCTCTAACTTCTTAGAATTTATTTACGATACTTTAAGTAAAAAGATTTATCTACATTAATTATTGTTTAATTATCAATAATTTAGACTTACTGGCGGTGAACTGCTTGACCGATTAGCAGATGAAAATTCTACAATGTCTGAAGCTGATGCTATTAATTATATTCGACAAGTATGCGAAGGTATACAACATATGCATGATACAAATATCATACATCTGGACATAAAGGTAAGGTATCTGTTGAAAATTGAAAGTTAAACTTCTTTTATCAACATTTACATAACACCTGTAAATTGATCACTTATTTATATCATTGTTGCTACTTACAGAAAAAGGCGGCCTGCTTGAGCATCTGGGCTACCTGTTCCTGCCATCTAGATATTTCAACAAGTTATCTATTTTTGTTTGTTTTAATATATCGTTATTAATCGCATAACCTATTCTGCTGCGTTTCTGAAAAGTGTACAACATTTCGTTGTCAAAGTTACAAACAAAAACTCAATAAGAGACAATGTGGTTGCTGGCAATATACAACGAAAAGAATGCACATTATTCAGATGTTCATTCAGTGAACTGCTAACATCTAACTGGCGATCACTCAATATTTATAGCCAGGAAAGACCAAGAAGAATGAAACGAAAACTTGTTGAAATACTTTACGCTGAGAATTCTATATTGTACCAAAAATATAATATTGAATAAAGCTAATAGTAATAATAATAATAATAATAATAATAATAATAATAATAATAATAATAATAATAATAATAATAATAATAATAATAATGTTATCAGAACTTTCTGATCAGTCCCAACTAGTGTTCTTGTAAATGTATATGTTTTGAAGTAAAATGCAAATAAAATTCTGAAGTCATAAGCAGTGATATGGTATATTGAACATAAAAATTGGAAGACTCAATGAGCAATCATTCCTAACTCATCATTTATGTATTTGTATACATTATCCACTTGTATATAAAAACTTGGAGTGTATGGTAATAAATGATGAATTTATTTTATTCCTATATCATAAAATAATAATTTGGTTAAGAGCGTAGCGTTTGAGAGTCCTTCCATTTGGTCGAACTCGAGAGCGATGTAAAGATTTCCGATACACCTTTGGATACAATTTGGTTTCTATGCACTCCTTTATAAAATCAACATTTGTCATCGCCTCACTGAGCCTTGCGCTATACTTCAGATACTCATTGAGAACCTTTGACGCAAATGTTTGCTCAGAACGTTTCAATATAGTAAAAATTCCCATTTTGCCATTTGGTAAATAAAGAAGGAACGGATTGAGCGAAGAAATTTCTTTTCAATTAGTTTTTCATCTACACTAATATATATACGTTTTACAATAATAATATGATACTCATCGAGTAGATATGTTACGTAATAATTACATAATGACATTTAAATTAACATTGATTGATTGGAAGAAAGAGGATTATTAATATTCAAAGTGATCAAGAAGTGATTAGAAGTTCTATTCTCTCTCACTTGGTTGACACAGGTCATCAAGTCGAATTGAATAAATCTTTTAAGGTTATCTACAATATCCCATCAAACTTGCCACATGGTTTACGAGTGCGCCTCTTGCACATTGCGGAAGCCATCGCAAACCATGTTCATAAACCTGACCTTTGCATTCAAAAGAGATTCGTACAACCACTTTCTCTGCCCTGGCCATCAGTTTAAGATTTCCTTCAAAAGAACTATTTTTCATATTTCTTCCACTTGTTTTTTTGTTAACTTTTGTAATTTTGTTTCTGTTGCTTTTGAACTTAATAAATTCTCAACATTCATCTCTTGATTCTTACGTAACTACCATCCTATTGACCATCCGTTAAAATTCTGTTCCTTCTTTGTTTCTTACATTACGCAACGTAGCAACTTCTTGATCACTTTGAATATTAATAATCCTCTTTCTTTCAATCAATCAATGTTAATTGAAATAATAATTTGTTTAATTTCTAAAATTTGTTTTTATCTTCTGATTACAGCCGGAAGATTTAATGTTTGAAACATCAAAATCAAAAAATCTAAAAATTGTAGATTTCAGTTTATCAAAGAAATTAGATCCTAAATCACCAGTTAAAGTTAGTTTATCACATCCAGAATTTGCTGCACCAGAAATTACACGATCTGAACCAGTTGGATTTTATACAGATATGTGGGCAATTGGTGTTTTGACTTATATGATGTAAGTGATTTATTTCATTTCTAAATTTTAGGTAAAACTTATCTTAGATGTTCGGTGATTAAAGGGAATTTGGGGGCATATTAAATCTATAATCTTCATAAATTTGGTTCTATTTTTGGAATGAGAACTTGAATCACTCAGTGTTTTAATCAAAGCGAACTGAACAACAAATAACTTCGTGAAGGATATATACGTATACATATACGAAAGGACTTTGTCTTTTACTTTTAGTATAGACACAAGTTATGAGATAATACACTCCATCTTATAAATCAGCATAAATATATGATTTTTAAGCCAAATAACCGGTATTCTTTTAGCGGCCCATGGATCTGACTCCATTTAGATCGTATAAATGTTTGTTATTACCTATCCTCGTATACAATCATCGACTTAAATCACGTTAGTCAACAACGGAATTTTAGATAAGTCAATTAACGAGAATGGCCTTTGAATACATATATTCGTGAGTAAAGTGAATGTAGCAGAACAAAGAAAAATGCCGCGTATTGGAGATGGCTGGTACGCCAACTCATTTTTAACCAGGCGTTACTAAATATTTATAGGCAGACAAAGTAAACTACAGACATGTGATGAGACATGGGATATGAAGTGTACACATATATACGCTCATATAAAAACAATCAAGACTGACAAGCGAATATTTAACAAGGTCAAAATATGACTCAAGTAGAATGAATAGATTGGGCTGTCCGAAAGTTAGAATAAAGTATATGGGCTTAACATAATAACACTACATTGTTCTACTAAAATGAAATATGTCTAGGATGTTATTGGAATAAGATTTACATAAATAGCATATTAATAGTTTTACGTAATTGTTTCGGCGCTTTATTGAACACTTCTTAAAACTTGTTTCTTTACTAATTACTATCAGTAGAGTATTTTATCTTTCATAATTATTTTTGTTAGTTTAAGCGGTTTATCACCCTTTGCTGGAAATACAACAGCTGAAACAATAGAGAAAATTGGAAGAGGTCAATTTACATTTGATCATGATGCATTCAATGGAATTTCGGCTAATGGTAAAGATTTCATTAGTAAATTGTTACAAAAACAACCAAAGTAAGTTATTGTTTCTATCGAAAAAAGTTTATTGAATCATTTTAATCACAAATGTGTTTTGTTTTCGAGTAAAATACAGTTCACGGTTTTTTTTCAAAGATTAGAATGCTGGACAATAGTCATTTTTATCATCATTCAAGTATTATGCATTGGTATACACTGACGACCTCTTAAGATTCGAACCCAAAGTTCTAAGAATGAGGAAGAATATAATTCGACTACGTTTCTAAAGGTTTATTTCGTAAATTCGCTTTCGACGATAAATATCTTCAGTGTACAAACATCCATATTTTCAGTATTTATGATAAGATTCTAGCGATAGTAATAATAATCTATATTTGTTGATATTTTGTGCATTACGAATTAATGTATGAGATCCTTGTATATTAAATGAATATTTAGACTTTGGAAGTGGCTTTCATATTTGATTCACTAAGTGTTTCGTTATAAACTATCAGAAAGTTAAATATTTTTATTCCAGGACATGACGAAGCAACCAGTACACTATTTCAGGTTTCTACTTACCAACATTTTTTAATTATTTATTTTTAGATCGTACGAATCGTTGTTATCGCCTATTCTCGTATATCACCGTCGACTTAAATCACGTTATCCAATAACGGAATTTAGATAAGTCAAATAACGAGAATGGGATTTCGAATACATATATTTTGTATATGAGGTGAATGGAATAGAAGGAAGAGAAGAGACGTAGAGTGGAGATGGCTGATAAGCCAACTCATTTTTAGTCAAGCGTTACTCAATATTTATAGTCAGACAAAATGAAGCTACAGACATGCAATAAGTCATGGGATATGATGCGTACACACATATAAGCTCATATAAAAACAATCAAGACTGACAAGTGAATAATTGACAAGGTCAAAATATGACTCCAGTAGGATGAATAGATTGGTTTGTCCGAAAACTAGAATAAAGTATATGGGCTTAAAATAATGACTGACGCTACGGAGTAACACGTTCAATTTTTTTCATCGGACACACTTTAAATAGATTATGCTTACTTTTAACAGGTTCAGCACGTGAATGACATTCCATACACCTTTTTACAGACAAACATTTATCTCAACCGCTGATTTAAGTAGAATGGAGCTCTTGATACATTTTTCCCCAAGTTAAATGGCAATTCTTTAAATATGATAAAGAGTTGTGAAACAGTTTTTCGACAAGGCCAACCTGTATTTATTTTAGAGCTTTATAATCATCAAAATTTGCCATTAGTGTCATTAAAACCTATCCGCTGAATGAATCGGAATGAAGACAGATTTATCAATTTACTCAGCTCATACCAGGATTTCTATACTGTCAATTACATCTGTAGATTTTAATGTTTGAAAACTCTATTTAATGCCTTAATTTTTTTGCTTTTTTATGTATCTTAACAGCCAGCGTATGACTATCTATGAAGCCTTAAAACATCCCTGGCTTAATGAAGCAATCACGGATGAACAGCGTCGACGTATTCCACCTTCACGTTATAAAGAATGTCAAAGACAAATGCATGAAAGAATGGTAAGCAGACGGTAAAAATTAAATCATTACAAAATTTAAGCTAACTACAACTATATTCTTATATGATGTACTTTGTTCACTAAAGGATAAATAATCATCAAGGGGTCTACATCAAAAATCAAACTCATTCATTTATGTATACTTTTTATGGAAACTATGAATGAAGTTTAGAATTTCTGTTGTGACCAAATCACAAGTCTTTGATTATAGACATATTTCACAGTTTACTTACTTACTTACTTACGCCTGTTACTCCCAATGGAGCATAGGCCGCCGACCAGCATTCTCCAACCCACTCTGTCCTGGGCCTCCATTTCTAATTCCATCCAATTCTTGTTCATCTTTTTCATGTCTATTTCCATTTCTCGGCGTAATCTGTTTTTTGGTCTTCCTCTTTTCCTTTGGCCTTGAGGATTCCATATGAGGGCTTGTCTTGTGACGCGATAGGGTGCTTTCCTCAATTTGTGTCCTATCCACTTCCAGCTCTTCTTCTTGATTTCTTCCTCCGCTGGGATCTGGTTTGTTCTTTCCCACAGTACGTTGTTGCTAATCGTGTCAGGCCAACGGATCTGAATTATTTTGCGTAGACAACTGTTAATAAACACCTGTATTTTCTGGATGATGGCTTTTGTAGTTCTCCAAGTTTCTGCCCCATACAGTAGAACTGTCTTGACATTTGTATTGAAAATCCTGACCTTGGTGTTGGTTGACAGATGCTTTGAGTTCCAGATGTCCCCAAGTTGTAAATATGCTTCTCTTGCTTTGCCGGTCTGCGCCGCCTGGAGTCCCTCCGGGGGCTACTGCCGGTCCCAAGCCAGGATAAAGGAGGAGGGTTAGGCATGGGGTTAGCGTCCTTATCCCGTAGAAAACTAACTCGCTAAAAAACGCTAACCAGAAAGAATTATTCAATTTCACAGTTTAGTTGATATATATTGCATATATCATAAACAAAGATTATGATGTTCGCATAATTTGTAACTTTATCTATTGAAGACTTCTCTGATTAATAATGTGAAGTCCATTATTTTTGTTAATTTAAGGTAACTTTCAAACGATTGAAGAGAACTGTAAAGTAATTTCTTTTGTTAAATAAGGTTTAAAAGTTCAAGAATAGATAGACTTATTTAAACTTAGGTAAATAGGTCAAATATAGAATATTTCTTTTTGCAGATAAAACGTATGCATCAGTTCACAATGAGCACTTATTTTGATAATAATTAAGACAGTTACTACTTTATTTAGTATTCATTCATTTTTGACCAAAGTTAATCTAACGTCGACTTGTATTTTCATTATAATTGGTAACTTACATCCTTTTTGTTCTGGTTGTTGACAAACACCAAGAGAAATCTCAGTATGAAATTGCGGAGAATGTTGAGTTCCATTGAAATCACGAATTGATCTTGGTTAAACTGCCATTGAAAATCTGGACTTACTGAAAGGTCGTTCTGTTTTAATACAAGACTCCTCAGAAGTGTACAATCACGATTCTGCACGCGGGACGCAAACCACGGACCTTCGGTCTCGTGCGAGAACACTTAAGCACTAAACCACTGAATCAAGAAGAACACCTACAGACTGGATAACATTTTTGCGGAACTAGCTTAATTATTGTGTTTCTTAGTGTTTTTTTAAGTATAAAATATACTTTAGGTTAAGCAAATTATAATGTTAAATGAAAATATCTTGGTAAATCTTGTCGGATGATCCATAGTTCTTTACATAGATGTTTTTTACTTATTATTGTTTTCTTCGGGTTTAAAGCTTTGCTGAGTTGTGCCAAGAAAAACAGACGCTGAGTAAAAGGTTACCAGACAATCACCCGAATGTGATTATTAATACGTTGGTAAAACTGTATACTTCATATTGTATGAAATATGTAAGGGAAGCTGATTTATTTTCTATATCAGCTGAAACAGTAATCCCAAAGCATTTTAAGCATGAAATTAGTTATGAGTTAAACTTCAGTTATTTTTCTGGTGATGTCCTCTCTCAGTTAGTTGGTTTGATTATGGAGCGTTCCTTGTCGTCCTGGACAACAGTAACAACTCCTACTTCATATAGAAGTGAGGTCTACAGGTATTATCTCAAGTGTTTTACTAGTTCTGATGACTTTGTTTGTGATTTGTTCTTTTAACAACTTATGAAGACTACCAGTCATAAACAATTAAATTAAAACCAACTTGTAGAGTAGTTGGAAAGTTCACTTTTACATGTAGTTGTTACTGTTGTTCAGATCGACAATGAACGCTTCACGATTAAACTATTCAGGTTAGAGGACGCCACCACCAAATCGTTTATATCATTTCATAGTCATTTCTTATTCAAACAACTTTTAAATACTATTATCTAATCATTTTTACCTTTTGTGAAATGTTCTTTTTTATAGGGTGATATATATCAAAGAAGCCCGGCTATTGGTCATTTGGCAAATTATTCATCAATACGTCAAAATAGACGAGATAAATATCAAATACAAGAAACAAATTTCGGTATGCGAAGTAAAAGTCATGCACAAAAGATTTCTTTTTATGCTCTGTGATAAACATCTGTTTGACACACTATATAACAATGATTTAACTCGGACATGCTTCATCATTACTGAAGTTTTTGATTGTTTCTCAACATTCGTAACATGTTCATTTAGTAACACAGTGTACTTATCATCTAAGACCTAGTTTTTCTGAATGTCTGAAAATACTTAATCTATGAATAACCAATTTTGATCGAATTCATCTCAGTATGAACTGTTGTGAAGATAGTGTCTTTCCAGACCAATTATTCTATACCTAACCAATTTTTAATGCTTTTTAACCTCATTATAAGGACTAATCGTAATTAAGAGAATAACTCATCGTTTTGAATAGAATAGAACAGTGCCAGGTATTGAAAATTTAGCTCTGGTGTGATACCTTTTTGAAAAAATAATTGTTTTTACTGGTTTTAGCTTGGTAAGACATTTGAAATAATTGAATAAGATTGAGTTTTTCAAATAATTCGACCTCATCACGGGGTGAAATTGCTAAGAGAATTGATCTTAGAGAATATACCTGACTTTCTCAAGTGCACGTAATCAACATTGATACAGGTTTATTTTTAAGTCTATGTATTCAAGATGTTTAAATGTCAGCCAACTAAACTAAACATATAGTAAGAGGATAATTTAGTTTTTATTCGTAGATCATACGTATGGGGACAACCACCGTTTTTTAATGTTCGATATTAATGAGATATGTAACATTTTCAGTTCACTTAGTATGTCAGTGCTGAGTGTACACGTTTAATTTTGATTGCAACTTCATTTGAATTACTTAAAGCTATTTAGATGTGTCATCTGTTAACGTACTGCCACAGCGCATTCAAATTTTCCAAATAAAAAGCAAATGAAGTTAAAATTTAAAACTTTGAATGAAATCCTCAGTGATAATTTTCCTCTTACGTGAAATAATAATTCACTAAATGAATGGGAAGACACCAGATATTGCACACATATTGAACAATGAAAAGTAGATGCTCTACAAGTTCACAGACACGTATCCTATCTCAACCATGATGCTTAATTGACACATTTTAACTATATTATTTTTAAACAAAACTTTTTTTATGTTTCAGATCGTAAAGAGGCTGGTCCACGTTTTGTAAAATGGCCTAGTAATCAATTAGTGATGGAAGGTGAAAATGCACAATTTAATTGTCGTGTTATGGCACTTTCTGAGCCCACCGTCACATGGTAATCCATTATATCACACTATTTTGATTGTTTTGAAATAAACAACAATTCTGTTTACTGTAAGATTAACTAATTAGCTTCATATATATCATAGGATACACGAAGCTACCATTCCTATACGTTAATCACTTGATTATGTAACAGTAATTATTAGACTATGTAGACCTCTAACAATAACATAACTCTCAGTTGCTCACTCTCATATTCAGTTTTTTTAATTAATTGGTCACTGAATACTGACCAGAATCATGTTTGTCCAGTTCTCAGTGTTGATCGAATGACACTGTTTACTACTCACTGACAAATAATTATCCATATAATAGTCGTTAGTGAATGCTCAGTTTTACGTCACAAAATGTCAACCCAAGTGATGCGGGTTCATATCTAAGAAAACATGACTTCCTTCGAGTTTTCAAGTACGTTTCGTTGAAGCGTTCCAACTAGTGTAATGGACACTACTCACAGGATTGTTTGTAAGTAGTGTGCAGCGGAAGATGTCGAAATTGCTACAATTGTCAGATGGAGTGGGGAGTCTCAGTGCATCGAAACCACGGCGTTGGTAGAACATTTGGAGACCAGATGAGAAGACAGTTCAGATTGCAGAAAACACAGAAATGTGCAAATGGAAGATTGAAGGCTGTGTATATGCATGATGTAAATGTTTAGTAACTGCTCTCAGTAAACATACAATTTCCCTGTCTATTGGTGTATTTTACACAAGCATAAAATTCAAGATGTACCTTGGACTACCACCTTTCAGTTAAATTCCAATATGATAAATGTCTATGCTATGAAGTTTAAGAATAAATATCTTCCTACTTACTTACATGTAATAATGCATTAGAAATGATAATAAGTGGTCAAAGACAGTCCAATATTTTTCTGTAGTACAGTCAGATATTTGAAGTATGAATAGTTTCACTAGTGGCGTTTTCACTCTCTGATCGTTGACTGGTACTTTTTTATATCAAATGAGTGGAATATATTCGTTAGAACATCTTTCACCTTACCAAGAATATTCTGGATTTTCTTCCTAATGCTAAGACTAGTAATAAAAAGTAAATAAAATGAACATAATATTCTTCTAATCAGGTTTTGCATTCTGGTGTGGAATTTCACGAACTAGTAAAATAACCTCTTTCCAAACTTTTCATTATCAATATACGGTTTTTAGGTTAATCTTAGTGATCATTTCTTTGCATATGGTAACAGTTTCATTGTGCTTATTCATGAAATTCAGGCATTTTGGTGACGTTCAATTATCTCAAAGTGTAAAACATATGCAACGTTATGCTGGGCACGATTATTCCTTAAAAATAAATAGGGTACGTATGGAGGATGCAGGACATTACACTGTTCGTGCTGAAAACAGTTTTGGAAAACGTGAATTCCCTGTCTTACTAACAGTGCAACCATTACAAGAAATTAAAATTGGTAAGATGCTGTTGTTAATTCTCTTTAATTTTTATGTTGATTTTATTCCAAACATTCAAATTTACATCGTTTAAGTATACTAAACCAAATAATCTACTTTTACTTTTTATTAATTATAGAACCGTTGCCACCAACATCACGTAAAAAGATTGAACCAGCGCCCGTCGAAATGTTCCATGAAGAAGAGACAGCACCGCGTTTTGCTTTCCATCTACGAAATCGTTATATACAAGAAGGTGGAAGTGTGAAACTGACATGTTCTGTCGATGGTTGTCCTACTCCAGTAATCACATGGTTTAAAGTAAGAAAACAGTACTTAAGCGAATAGTCATTTGTGGAACTCAGATTTCATACATTTTTAATGACAATTTATTATTCAGTGTGTTAGATTTGAAACCAGTTTATGTGATTCGTTTCTAATCTACTGACTGGAACTATTCAGCCATCCGATAGATCCATTTCTATATAATATGAAACTACCAACTAATTTAAAAACGACCTAACATTTACCTTTATAGTGCCACATTGAAGCCATCAGTAATAAGCCCTTAGTTAGTTGAATCCACAGTCGTACAAAGATTTAAAAATAGTCTTTAGTAGTAGTTTGTACTTTCATTAAATCAGCTTTATTATTACTAATCATTTTCACTGTGCGTCAGTATTACAATGACCATGTTTTCATCAACTTATGGTGTCAAGTGAAACCAAAGAACTTCCGAAAAGATTTTTATCCTAATCTCGAATCCCATAGCACCACATACCAATTAATCACAAGGTATTTCAACAAAGAAAGTTTAGGTCTTACGATAAACACTGGTATTCTTCATCCAAGTTGAGATTCAGCTACTCAGGTTTTCAAGCTGCATTTCATTTTTTACATAATCCTTTTCTCATCGGACACTTATGGTGTAAATCACTTTAGAAGTGTGAGACTGTCATTCAACCTATTGTGGGGATTTAGTGGGTAGACAATTATTTGACCAAATTGTTTGTGAAAACATCTCATGTCAAAGAGGGTAACTATTAACTTGTGAACAAATGGTAGGTAAGATGTTTAAACTGAGTCACGGTATTAATCACAAATTAATGTACTGTGTTAGGGTCTTATCTTTAATACATTAGGATAGGAAACGAATATTATTAGAATTATATGATGTATTAGCGCAATACATTTCGAGCATAGTTCTGATAATCTTCGTCATCTTATTACACTACCCAAATTTATCAAAGGGACGAACTGCTTCAAATTTAATATATTATTCGCGCACCGGATTGGGCTTGAGTATACGAGAGTGTTTGTCTGTATCTCACTAAACGATCGCGAAATGTAATATTTATTGTGTTAATATATCATATGACTACAATTAAATTCGTCTCCTTATCATACTATCTAATTTTATCAATATGTTTTAGTCTTTTTCTCCGTTGGTAAAGAGAGAGAGAGAGAAAAGTAAGAGCTAGATTACAACAATAATTGACACAACTTTTACTAACTCAGACGTATCAAACTTGTAAATCAGGACAGTAAATAATGTCTTGAATCAAAACAGGGCCCTATTTATTCGTGCTTAATATACAACGAATGAATTACTGTGTTGTTCATCACAGGTTAATATATTTAATAATAGATAGTTTTTCTGAAACCTGTTTCGTAGTCACTAGTGTATAAGTTATCAAACAGTCTATTAATTATGTTTGATTGAACTGGTATTTTATACTGTTCGTAAGTATAGATTATGGGGAATTTATAAAACTACCATAATACCATAGATATTATAATTTATTGTCTATCGTCATTCGTAATTATATTAATGAAGTGAATAATGGAATAATAATTGTGTTGTTTTAAACAGCTTCTTGAGTTATTTCATATAAGTCATGATAAAATACATAGTACAATCACTGTATAATTAAAATCACGATTATTATTAAAAATTCAACATTTACTATTGTTTCTAAGATGATACTGAAATTACTTATAGACATCTATTTCCTTATCTTCGTTAAATCAATTTTCACTTTGTTATAACTTGTGGCCTTGTGCCCAATTATTATATAACGTACTGATACCGCCAATTAGAGAACGGTGGTTTATCGACCGGACCAATGACGCATAATTCCGTACAAGCACTCCTAGAGTATTTACCGATCATTCTTCCTGACTAGCCTTCCTGCCTGTTAAGTTTAGAACACTAATCTCAGCTTCCACGATATAAATCATATATTTCAAACATTGCGTTTATATACAAACCGAACGGACCACATCGCATCACATAATAGAAAACAACATTTGTAGAAGATCTAACCAAACGTGGCTGTGAATATGAGAGACTGTAATTAATAGACTGGGTATAACTCAAGAACGATAAATAGTACAATAATAATCTATTGGTCAAAATAAAGCTTACAATAAGAGGAACACGAATATGATTAACAATTATGCAATAAAAACTATATGTATAGTATTAGTCCAGAAATAGATTCCAATAGTTATCATTCATTATTCTCGTAGGGATATAAAACACTTCAGTTCGTTATTATAGACTCATTTACTGAGATACGATGTTACATGTATATGATGCATTTAAAAAATAACCAGTTTATAATGAGAAAAGCATCAGATACATATGTCTTATCGATTGACATATAAAAAAACTTTACTAACCTATGTAAATCATGATTCAGCTAGAATTATAAAGAATTACATATATCAACAGTTGCGATCGTGAGTCAATTGAAGCTAGACCATCATGGAAAACCTGGAAGCACTGGAAGGCCGTTTTGTACTATTGTGGGAATCTTCAGCAGTGCGCGAACGCTTAACCTCTAGACCACTGAGCCGGCATCCAACGGTGTTAATGTCTAACCTCAACCAATCCACGAAATTGCACAACCATCTATTGTACTGAGGTAGATACCTGTCTTTGTCTGACGTCGATTAAAAATTAACACTGTTGAATTGTCTAGAGGTTAAGCGTGGTTCGAACCCCGTGAGCTGGATGCTGAGGATTCCCACAATAGAACTAAACGGACGTCTAGTGCTTCCAGGTTTTTCATGATAGTTTAACCTCAAATGACTTATTATCTCAATAAAAAATATATCTATAAATGTACATACTATGGGAATAAAGTATTTATGTGGTGATAAACTTTTTTTCAAAATTTGTCAAGATAACGCAATTAATGTTGAGTAGTAATTCTTGTATACTACTTATTAGTAGTTGAAAGTTAATATACGAATTTCTATGTACTGAATTTTTAAATGATTCATATTAATTTTGTGGTGAACATTTTCCTCGGAAATATATATATATATATATATATATATATATATATATATATATATATATATATATATATATATATATATATATATATATATATATCAGTAATTAAAGAAGGAATCCTTTCTTTTGAGTTTTATGACAGGACTTGTTTAACGAATAAACTAATTTACTTATCTACATTATACTAGTTAAGATTTATTTTAATTAGGTCAAACAATTGAGGCACAAAACCAAGAACATATAAGGAGAGAGTAAGAGATTTCATAGTGATATTAATAAAATAAAGTTCTAATATCAAATGATTCCTTCATATTCTTAACTTTAAAGATAGTGCGTTTTTCTGAATAGTGAGAAAAGTACAATTATAAAGCCTATCTACTATTTACTCATCTGAATTTTGTTTTAGTCAGTGGTACTACCTTCTGGAAAATCAAGGAAAACTTAGAAATTATAGATATCCCCTAATATCATTTTATGACTGGTTTCCGTATAAATGTTATATCAGCCACTTGTGATTTGAAGAAGAGAGGTGATGGCATCTTATTACACCGTAGTCTGTCCTATTTGAAAGCTTGGATATTGTTTTAGACGAGTTAGGAATGTGTGAAAGATAATTATTTTCTATCATGCTTTTTTACTTTCCAATTTCATCTCTTGTATCACTAGTGTAGAGAAGGTATTGACACCTTTTGATTTGAATATTTATCTAATAAAACAAACTATATTCATGATAAGTTAGCTGTATAATAATTATGGTAAACAGAAAACTATTCATTATTAAAACATAATTCTAAAGATTTATTTAGACTTATAGTTTAGGTAAGAAACATTAGATTGTTGACAATAACTAAATTGATCTGTAGTTATCAACTGCCTTAAATTAATTAGCCTGTGAAATTCATATGCACTATAGTTGTGTTTTGTACTTTGACAAAATTTATTTTATACATTTACCTGGTAAAGTAACAAACACATTTTATTTTGGTAAAATTATTTCAACAGAATGGTAAAGAATTAAGAAAAGGTGATGGGAATTATGAAATTCAACAGATGCTTGGTATCACGTCACTTGAAATATATTCCTGTTCAGAAAATGACTCTGGACGATATTCCTGTCGTGCAGTGAATAGTCATGGTGAACATGAAACTGAATGTAAAGTTATCGTTGAAGGTGAGTCATATTAAAAAAATGTATTGGATTATTCTTATTCACAGATAATTACTTTCTACATTTTAAGTGTAAATAGAGGTAGTTTGCGTCAATCACTTACGTTCTCAGGAGGATTTTGTTCAGACTATTCTGTCTATACAGAATTCATAATTTGTTAATTTCTATTTGTATACATGTTTACAAAATTTACAACTCAAGAACTTAATATTTCTTAGGAGAAATGCACTCAACTAAAGATAATCCTCCTAAACAGGTATATTTCGATTAATTTTTTCATAGCGAGCCGTGTTAAACGATTTCTCAGTGCTCAACATGCTGACAGAAAAATTCGTTCAAGTAGTCAACAACCTACTGGTTTTGAATCAAGAAATGAAAATTCTTCATGGCGTGATGATAAAAGAACTTTGACTCGTCTTACTGAAAGACATGCATCAGAAGTACGTGAAATTAATGAAACACGTGATAAATGGTCAAATAATGAAATCAGAGGATTACGTGACTTAGTGGAACATAGACCTTCCAATGGTGAAATCCAACCTATTCGAGTTGCCGCACCTAAATTGTCAAAAGGGTTAAAACCCATTACACAAGTTGAATTAGGCAAAAGTTTCAAACTGGAAGCAAGATTTGAACCAACAAATCCTCCAACTAAAATTCGCTGGAGTTTTAATAATCAAGTTAGTTGAATAGATTTTGTAATGAATTATTGTTTTATGATAGTTTAATTGAATGTAATTAAATATTTGACTATATATATCGGTGTTTTTGGCGAAACAAGTCAATAGAGCAGGTATTGTACGGCAATTATAATTCAATTTGATAGATGCTACTTTTATGGCATATTTTCATCCGTATCTTTTTAAACATTCACAAATACTAATAAATACCATTCCGTCACACTGCATTTGTCACTTTATTATATTTCAAATCTGTACTTTCTGTTATTTATTGAATACTAACTGATCACTAGAATCTTGTTTTACTTAAGGATCTTTAAAATTTGACTAGACCAATTGTTATACCACTAGCTCTCATTAGTTTTACGGTATTCATCTTATAGAACATTCTCGTGGTTTATTGACAGCAATTGGATGAAGTTATCTCGTCGAATGTATTGAAAGTATAGATCAGAGCATGCCCTGGACGTGATACTTGAATCAGTGAAAATAGTAATGTAATTCAAATTTAGCGACTAGTTCCTAGTGCATGACATAATCGGGCTAATCAACAACAATCACCATTTTTATATTCTATGCTTATCAACACTAGCTTTTTATCACAGATTAGAAATGATATAATCCAACTATTGAATGGAAATTCTGCCATTGGGTTATTCAACTTCATACGCATACCGCTATGCATTTTCATGAAATTAAAGCTTGATTGTTTGAATTTATCAAATAAGACTTGATATAAATAGAGAAAATCTTTATTAACTTGACTTTTATCCATCGTGTAACGCTATTTGGCACTAAACAAAAATCCACTTTTTTCAATTAGGAAACGTTTTTATATCATAATAAAACAGACTGTTTTAATTGTATAACTGTTTTTTAAAATTGTCATATATTTACACTGAATTGCAGGAAATCACTTCAGATGGTAATATAAAGATCACAACATCTGAAGATGGTGAATTCAGTTATCTTGAAGTGTTTGATTCTAGTTTTTCAAATGCAGGTGATTATGAAGCTAAAGCTGGAACAACTATTACTCGAACCAGTGTCAAAATTGAAGGTATGTATCATTTATTCAAGAAGTATATTTTGAAATATTAGTTGCTTTGTTTAAATTAGATTGAGAAGCACTCATTTAAGAATTTCTTTGATAATTCATTTTATGCTAATCTCCAAACAACTGATTCGATAACAGTTTTCCACCACACACCGTTAACAACAAAAAAGGAACTGAATAAATATTTCATCGTTATACATCACATTTTTATAATCATCTTCTTTATATTTCTTTCACAACAGAATACAAGTACATTGTTGTGTTACTAATAAGTTGAAATGTTGTGTTCTACATGTTATAAGACTGTTTGACATAATCTAAAGACTCCACAATGATGTTGATAACTATATGTATACTAATTAAATCTAGTGGCTGAAACTTGTTTCCACTCATTTTATGCTTACAATCAGTAAGATATGATACAGAGAATCAAATATTTTTTTAAAATTCCATACTGAATCTTGTTATTTGAATCATATTCCGATTCAGTAGGAAGAATGGCTGATCTACAAAACTCCATCCTTTGATTTCCTTATTACCAGATTTTAAAATATGATTTGCTCGAAGATAGAATTCAAAACTTTTATCAATCTTAGTGGTAAACTCTCATTTATACGACAAATTTAATAGTTGTGGATCACATTACTCTTAATATAAAATACTTTTTTACTGCATATATAGCCCCAGCTAATTCATTGAATGGAATGATAGATGAAAATGATGACGAACTATCAGATGAATTTTCTAGTCAAGCTGTTGAACAAGTAAATGATAATGATGAAGGAATCATACCTAAAGCTGTTGGATTAGCGCCATTATTCACTGTCCATCCAATAAGCCAAACTGTCAAAGAAGGAGATACGGTTTGTTTAGAGTGCACTGTATCAGGAGATCCCATTCCAGAAGCTGAGTGGTATTATAATGATGGTCCTATTCAAGCTGGACATATATTTTCTCAAGATAACGAAATCATAAAGCTTGAATTACAAGCTCTATTACCCGAAGACACTGGTGCTTACGAATGTCGTGTCACAAGTTCAATGGGAAAAGCATCCACTATTGCCTTCCTTGTTGTCGAACGTAAGTTAAATAAAGGAACGGTTTCCTTTTTGAATACTTTATCAAGTTACTTCTTTGAACTAGTGAGTTTTTATCTAGGCTGATTTCAGTTTATGATGGAAATCTCCTACGGTATTAACTAAACCAAAAGATTTAACGGTAAACTGTTTCCCTAGTCCAAAGTAACCATCATAATTTTCATGCACAAAAATAGATGGAAATGGCACTTCTAATTGTAATTATTAAGACTAAGACATTCTATGTAGAATCGTTTCATTCATTGACAATTAATTCATTACTTAAGCTGGTTATAAAATCGTTAAATTAAATGTAAGTTTCTATTCACTGTTGGCACATTGCAACGCCTTAACAACAACAGAATGGTATTGGAGTTCGATAATTGATTGTTGTATATCTGCAGCTCAGTTAGATATAACATTTAATTGTAGAATAACAATATTTAAACTGGAGAAATAGTGTTCGTGCTCCTTATCTCCCACAAGTATTTATAACTGCCCTAATTTTAGTGAGATACTAAAGGCTTTGAAACGTCCTAAGATAACTATTAAATAAGCATCCGACACACTTTGGTGTATTGAAATTTCTTGTCAAGTGTTTACGGATATTTCTTTATCTATATACCTGTCAACAATCATCACAAACTATCTCACAGGTGGCTAAATGAACAGAAGCCATCTACTGTAATTCATTGTAACTTTTGGATTTCCAAATACAGATTAAAGGACTAGTCAGAGTTATAAAAGTAAGTTTACTAAGTGGGTTGTGATTTTGTATGAATATCTCACCTTGCTTTTCACTTTAAACATCAAATAGTATCTAATTTCTATAAATCGAATGATTTAAAAAATTCTTGTTTTATCATCTTACAGCTGCAAATGAAGTGCCGAAAGGACCTAATTTCCTTACTTTTCCACAATCACGTAGTGTTGAAGAAAATGAATCTGTTACTTTGAAATGTTCCTTTAGTAATTCACTAGTTGAAGAAGGTGAGTAAGCAGTTCGGTTTAAAACGCACACACATGTAGATAAAGTGTGAAATAAAAATAACTTGAAATTTCACCAATCTTTTTCTCTGATTTAATTTGTATTGCTTTCATGATTTTTTTTCTGTTGGATTGTATTACCCAAGAGTTGGAAGTAACTCATCGTTAACTAGTTTTACATTCAAAAAGGTACTTAATTTAACGAAATTCTCGAAACCTGTGTAATTACACTGCAGAATGAAACCATATAATTTGGGTTATATATATATATATATATATATATATATATATATATATATATATATATATATATATATATATATATATATATATATATATATATATATAGAGAGAGAGAGAGAGAGAGAGAGAGAGAGAGAGTAAATGAATGAAGTAGAGTAGATTTTCTCATTTGTTTGCTTACATAGTTTGGTTTATTAACTTGTGATTAAGCTTCCTAAATTAAAATGAAGCATAACGAATGTAAATATAAGGTTAAATGGTTCAATTTTCATTATATGTAAATTAAAACTTACCAGTGGAGTGAAATTGTAACATATTTAATGTTATGTTACATATGGAAATTATTCGGGCTTCATATACTAAGAATTCGCCTTTAATTTTATTAAGCATTCTATGGTCCATATTGGTTCAGGGAATCCATCTAATTCAGAAACATTTTTCCGGAAGATTTTCAGGAATTATTTCATAAAGTAAAAGCTTAGCTCTAAGCTTGGCGACCAAGGTGAATCTCTCTGGCTTAAAGTTATCATGAAATACTGTCCACTCATTAGTGACCTGTTTTATGGATTTCGATTCGTATTCACCAGTTAAGGAACTTGGATCAAAAAGGTATCGTAATTGAGCCGAGGCTTGAAGATTATTAGCTCGATCACATGTAGGATAGTGCTACTGGGTCTAGAGTCTCCGAGTAATGAATAATTCTTTTTCTGTTAAAGTTTTGTTCTTTGAGATGAATAGCTTGATCATGGAGCTTTCATTATTCTATTAAATAACATAAGTACAACATTGGGATAGAAGTGAGTTATTCGGACATCTACACATATTGCTGACACCTTGTTCTATCATGAAGCTTACACCAATAATGTCTTTCAGAAGAATAATGAAAGCTTCACGATCAAACCATTCATTTCAGAGAACGACCTCCAACAAAATCATCCACATGAGCTACGTATCTTCCCGAACATCTTATTTCCCTGTTGATTCTAACTTTAGAACTAAGACTCTAAAGCAGCCTAACAAATAAATTAAATGTGTTTAAAAACCATTGTGATGAAAGATTTGGTACTTCGAGTAACAACCGTTGATTAGTGACGTGAAGTAAATAGTTCACGATTCATTAATACTTAATTCTTTCCTCATAGGTTTCTATTAATAATTTATGTTTTCACATATGCTTTCACAATGTTAACTGTACAAAGAACTAAAAAATTTGATCAAACTTATTATTTTTGAACCATTTTATAAAAAACTTTAGTTTTTTGGTTTCGCAACGATACTCCGTTGGATCCTAATTATTGTGATTTTGATAAATCTGCTCAAACCAGTATATGCATCCTTCCATCAGTGAAAGCATCAAAAGATTCTGGAATTTATTTAGTAAAAATCAAAGATATAAATGATAACTCATTTATATGTAAATTTTGCCTACAAGTCATACCATCTTTAATGGTGAATGATAATAATTCAATTAAAGTTATTTAAAATTACATATTTTGTACAGGAAAATTAACTTATCCTAATGTTATCATGACAAATGGCTTCAAAATTCTTATAGACCATATATTAACTAACATTTCAGAATAAATTTATGATTTAAAAAGAACACATTATGTTTACATTATTCAAGCACAATATCACACACAATCTATGAACTATTATCATTTATTGATTTATACTTTTTTTTCTCTCTCAAAACATTAGTAATTCATAGAAACCTTTTATTCTCCTCCTCCTCCTCCTCCTCCTCCCCCCCTTGATTATACTAACAACAAATGCTTTTTCCCATTTTGAATAAAATTCAAACAACAACATAGAAACAAAGAAATAAATAAAAATCTCCGGAACTAATTGTGTAAATGATACAATCATCAGAGGAATATTATTTTTTGAAGTAGACAAAACAACCAACAGAAAGAATATCCCAAATCAGTTTTTTTTTGTTAAAAAAGAAAGAAAGAACTATTTCATTTTCTTTTAGTTTATGTTATTATTTTGCTAGTCATTTCAATGTGTATACATACTTCTATGTATAAGATGAGATCATAATTACTAAATATGAAAAAATGATACATTATGAATGTCATTGAAAGTCAATCACCGACTGTTCACTTATGTATTTTGTGACTTGAAACAACAACAACAACGAAAAAAAACTATTACTAAAACTTGTCATTTTCAACGCTTTACTTTCTCCCATTTCGTTTTTTTTTAGTCTGTTTTTGTTTTTAACTTTACAAAGTACTATAGATGTTTTTTTTTTTGTTGTTGTTGCCAAACATGGAAGGATTATCTAATATAAAACATGTGTATACTATTATCTTTTATTTATCATGATAACTATTAATGTGATTAAACATTTCAACATTTATCTTGCCTTTCTCTGTTGTTGTTGTTGTTGTGTTTTTAGACGAAATTCTTTGATGTTTTCTCCCTTTGTGTTTTTGTTTTCTTTTAATTTATTTACTTATTCTCATTCCCATGGAAATAAAAAGAAATCTGTTCCCTTCCTCGCCTAACCGGATGCTTTATTATATTCATATTTTCTTTAAATATTTAAAAGACATTTTTATGATTATATACAAAGAATACGACTATACAAAACTTTATTATAATATAAAACAATTCTAACAGTTATTGGTTAGTTAGCTTTTTTTGTTTCCAAATTGTATGTACGTAATCATAAAGCATACATTTCCTCATTTATTCATTGAACTCTTTTTAAAATAATATTTTCTTTTCCTATCTTATATATTTGTTTTCTATTAACAACGTAATTGTTGAAAAAAAAATAGTTGCTAACCTCTCTATTTGAATCATTTATCATTATTATTGTTGTTCTGTTGTGATTTCTTTCGAATTTTAATTAGTAGTTATGAAATAGGCTACAGTGTAAGTAAAAACTTACTAAAACTGTTGATATGATCTTATGATTTCTACAAAAATAGACACAACAAGAACGACGACGACAACAACAACACCGACCAACTCTTCTGCTTTATTACAAATAAGAATAATCTAAATAAACAATGATTAATGTTATCATTTAAAATTATTTCAATTCCCCTTGAAATTTTTTCTTAATTTATCACTAGTCTATTCGCATGTTTATTTACTTATACAAAGTAAAATCTTTTCTCAATTCTAAATCTTTTCTTTGTTCTTTGATATATTATGCAAGTAACTAAATGGTATTAATCGTTATGATGATAATACTGATTATTCATATTATTCTGTTATCCATTACTTGACAATAATAACAATCTCATTCACTATATGTGCTATTTTCTAGCCATTGAAACAAGAAGTTAAATTTTTTACATGATCTTTTTCTTTTGTTGTCGTACTTGTTCTCATCGTTAAGTCCTTTTTTTTTTCTTTATTACCTATTTGTTTCTTTCAACAGAACTGAAAAACTTTTCTTCTACCTGACCCTATATTAAATGATAATTATTTACTGACACAAATTATGTTCGATCTGAGAGAAAAGAAAAAGAGTCTGTTTTAAAAAAAATAAAGTTTGAAAAATTATTTTCTGTTTTAGAATATGAACTAATTTAAGGGCTTACTAGTATTGTTTTAAGTAATCTTTGGTACTGAACATGTTTTAGCAAGTTGATTAGTCGTTTGATCCAAATTCCGTTACAGAGTAAAAAAGATTTTAACCAGTAGGAAGCTCTGAAATTAGATTTTGAGCTTATTGTTGCTTGTAAGTATGGCATATTTGTATTTTTGAAGCAACACGTACTTTTTTGTACAATTTGGGCCTACATTACCAAGTGTCACAGTCGGAAGTACTACTACTGTTCTATTCGAGTCAAAATTGACTTAATGTACAGTTGAAGTATCTTACAATGGTCGATCGCTGATTAGTAACCAATATCATATTTATTTATTCATTAGTACTGGTTGAACTCGATAGATCAAATTACGACATGGACAGTAGATTACAGACACATTTTGCTGACGTGTACTTACTAGCATTAAGTTTAGATATGTGTTTTGGTTACTCACAAACATCCAATATCAAACTTATTACATCCAATATTGATTCAGTTAAACCACCGACCACTTCGCAACTTGATCAATACAATTCGATCAACATTCGAAACTGGTCAAGGACGAAATTAATTATTATTCAACAATTAATTGGTGCAATGTTTAATTACTTTTCAGTAAACACAAGAGAATTGTACTAGTTAATTCTAACTTTAATTAGGAAGATAATCGATAATGATAGTTCTGATATGATGGAAAGCAAAGTCCATTTTCGATTGATTATGATTCATTATGAGTTTTGTTCAAGATTATTTCCATTCTGATTCAATGTGATGATTATTCAGTGTAGTATTCGGTTTCGTTTTCTCGTATGATATTTTATTCTGAATAATATACGATATTCTTGTATTCCATTGACATGAACTATGCTCAGCATATGATCTGTTGTATGTTTCATATATGTGATTTCATCGTAATTATTAATCGAAATGGGTGTACAATCAATAATATAAATGAGTGTATTTTAGACTAGGGTCGTCATCGTCATAGTGTTTTGGGGCTAATAAATCTTCACTTATACTAGCCTTTGTGTTCTTACTTTCGCGTCGTGGGAATTGCAGAGATCCCTCGTTCTGAGTATAAGCGATCAGCATTTTTCCGGCACAACAATCAGCAATGACCAGTTATAACAAGTTCTTGTATACATTGTACAATAGCAACCTTATAACAACAATACATTATGAGTAAAAAAAATGTCTCATTGGATTTAAGATTAGTTTTTAATGATTTTTATTTGATTATTTCCGTATAGCTATTTCAAATTACCAATGAAATAGTACGAAAATCATTCAGTTTTTAATAAACAATTCATTTTCTAGTAGATTTCCATTTTTTACGCATATGACTTTTGAATTTGTACAGTTCTGTATAAATAATCACTTGAATCATGACCAATATTTATTTAGGAATGTTAATATATGCAGAATAATTAATTTAATGGATTCATGTAAATCACTTTGTTAAGAGAATAATATTTATCGGGTCAACAATTACATGTTATTGATTAGTTAAAAAGTTGATTAGTTACTAAGCCATTATTTTACACAAAGATTAGTATATATAACTTTACAGAAAAAAACTTGAACGATGAATATATTCATGTAAAAAGATCAATAAATTAGTAAACATATTTCGTTAGCCTTAGTTGTTATAATAGTAAAACTGAAGTAGATCACAGTCAATATTTCATAGTCTCATGACTATGGTATAATTATTTTATATTTCATGTTAGTTTTAGTTAAGATAATTCTTCATATATTTAAAACACTTCGTTTGACCTTCTGGATAAATGAGGCAAACAAATTTATTCTTTAACTACTTGTGAAGTGGTGGAGAAGATTTGTAGCTCAAGTGGATGATTTTGGTGGAGTTTTTATTCTTTGAGCTGGATGGTTTGGTCGTGGAGCTTTCATCGTTCTTCGGAACGACATCATCAGCACAAACTTCAGATAGGAGTGAAGTGATCGAATTTCTCCATATACGTTTCACAGCATGTTCTGTGCACCTCGATGTCGATGAAATTTTATTGACTTTAAATTCATCATTGTTTACTTCTTTGGGGAGACTTCTTTTGGGAGACACGACCAAAACAAAGAAGTAAACAATGATAAACCAATCAACATCGAGGTGTGCAGAACAAGCTGTGAAACACATATGGAGATATTCGAACACTTCACTTCTATCTGAAGTTTGTGCTGATGATGTCGTTCCGAAGAACGATGAAAACTCCACGACCAAACCATCCAGCTCAGAGAACAAAACTCTACCAAAATTTAACTACTTATCTTTTCACAGGTTGAAATCATGAGTCAATTGAAGCTAGACCACCATGGAAAACCTGGAATCACTGGACGGCCGTTTCGTCCTAGTATGAGAATCCTCAGCAGTGCGCATCCACGATCCCGCACCACGCGGAGCTCGAACCCAGGACCTGCTGGCTTCGCGCGCGAGCACTTAACCATTAAACCACTGAGCCGGCATCCACCGGTGTTAATGTCTAACTTCAACCAATCCACGAAGTTGCGCCACCGAACACCATTGTCCTCAGTGAGCTGATATCACACAACAGACTTATCTTTTGAATGTATTATACTGTGAGATTTTAGGAATTATTACCATTTCTAGAATAAGGAAGAATGATAAAATTTTCATTTTTAGCTGTTATTTCTTATTAGTTCATTAAAGAAACTAAATACAATCGAAAATTTTACTAGTGTTTCATTTTACAAGGAGGAGATCAGTCAGTTATCTTCCTTAGTTGTATGACGAATTGAAATATACAGGATGCCTGAGTGAATAAGACAATAACTCAGTTTTCATAGCTTCTGTCTAGTCTTATATTAATAAGTCTTGATAAAAGTTCGAGTTAATACAATTAGTGGCGTTTGATCAAAAGTTGTTAGTGAAGATAAAGTGAAGCTGTTACACGGAATAGTGATATAGAGACTACATTTATTTTAAAGTGAAAATAGATGAAAGAGCTAAAATATGTTGGTAATTACGTTGACATCACTAAAATTATATGTTTACATAACTATATCATACAGAAGTTGGTTTAGTCACCTTGTATTCAAATAGAAACGCGAATCCGTGGTCGGTAATGTCTTTTACTCAAAATCACAATCGTAATAGGAAAAACAACGTCTATGCTTTATTAGACAATCAAACTTGATACAACCTATTTCGTCAAACACTGTCCATATAACACATAATCAGAAGTAATCAGAATATTCAAATAGAAATAGTTGAATATTTTCTTGAATATTTATAAAAACAAATAAATTCTAATGGACAGATAATAAATACCCTTTCTTTTTTATTAATAAACGTAAAGCAGAATTGATTCATAAAACCTATTGAGAGACAATCTTGATAGTGTTTTATGGACGTGATCTAGGTTGAATATACAAATTTATCAAAGTCTTAACCATATACATATTCAAAAATAGTTTGTACTTACACTAAACCTACTATAATTATTATAGTAACTCACATTTTTAATATCAAAGGTGATGTGAATTGTTTTGTTTTATCTTATTATCCTTTAATTTATCTAATAGTTTTGATCTTTGTATTTATCATATAAATCTATTTTAATAAAAAGTAGCGTATGATTAAATCGTTCTAGATTTAATGTACCAAAATAGCAGATGGTTATGACAAGCATTATCTTCTCATTAACTTACTTTAATTTTCACAGATTGAAATCATGAGTCAGACCACCATTGAAAACCTGGAAGCACTAGACGGCCGTTTCGTCGTGGATGAGCACTGCTGAGGAGTCCCATACTAGGACAAAACGGCCGTCCAGTGCTTCCAGGTTTTCAATGGTAGTCTAGCTTCAACTGACTCATGATTTCAATCTGTGAAATTTCTAAAACTCTCCACAAAACCCATTCTGATAATAATCAACTGCTCACTAGTGACTGACTTCAGGAAAAACTCCCGAAGTTCTAGCGAGAAGCCGTTACCAGTGGAGTTCAACCGGTCTGTTGTGAGATAACAACTCACTGAAGACAATGGTGTTCGGTGGTGCAACTTCGTGGATTGGTTGAAGTTAGACATTAACACCGTTGGATGCCGGCTCAGTGGTTTAATGGTTAAGTGCTCGCGCGCGAAGTCAGTAGGTCCTGGGTTCGAGCCCCGAGTGGTGCGGGTTCGTTGATGCGCACTGCTGAGGAGTCCCATACTATGACAAAACGGCCGTCCAGTGCTTCCAGGTTTTCAATGGTGGTCTAGCTTCAACTGACTCATGATTTCAATCTGTGAAAATTTCTAAAAATCTCCATAAAACACATTCTTGTAATTGATATTACCAATGGTGGAATAATATACAAGAATTTATATCTTATTGACAAACATTCAGAAATTATACAAAAGGTAATAAGAAATTAATAATATCGACAGTGATCAGGAAATGATTAACATCAGAGAGTTAACGAATAGGTTCTGGACTTAAAATTATGAGAATAGTGAACAGCATGATTTATCTTGTTCTAGAAACTGTAATTATTTCAGTATTAAATTGGCCTAAATAAATATGAATTATATCATATAAATAAATGTAAAATTTATTTTTAACCATAAAATGTTAAATGCTCTAAACCATTGTGTAAGATGAATAATGCTGTCAGTTGAAGAACAAGAAGACTACTGACTATATCAAACCCATTATTCTTTAAAGTGACTGATAATATCTCTATGGTAATGATAACTGATTAGCTATTAAGATCTTGACATAAAACAAAAAAGTTATAGGACTGTTTAAAAATGTATATTCAAGAAAGAGACATCGATGAAGTAATACTTAAATGAAGACAGTTTTGTCCTGGTAGATAAAAATCTTGCTGAAAAACTCTGTGAGATTCAGAATATTATGTTCAGACAACAAAATTAAAGAATCATTTAAATACATATCTAAAAATGTTTTTAGGAAATACAAAGAAAAGTAATCTGTTAAGCATAAACAGAAACTCTATTTTCTATTTTATTTGAATAAGATTTTACCAAGAATTTATAGAAGAATTAGGAGGGGCACAAAAAAACGCATTCTTCTTCAGCTCAACTGGTTTCAGCATACAATACGGAATGCTTATTAAACTATTCAAAAGTTGGTTATAACTCTATTGATACCACTATCAACTGTATTATTGGACTTAAATATACTTGTGGTAACAGGTTTATAAAAAGAGTTAAGAAAAAGACTTCTACAAGATTTTAGGAATTAGTACTACCAAGTCTTTACTTGAATGGAAGTGTAGTCTTCGAAATTGCAACCACTGGAAGTTTAAATTTGTTGAATGACAATCCTATCTTTGTTTGTAACCTTAAAATAGAATGAATGCGTTTTTAATTCTGTAAGTCTCATCATTCCTATGTTGTTCAATATTATTCTCTTGTCTTTTATATTTACCACTACTTACGAAGTTAAAATACGATGAAATCTTTCAAAGTAAATTGAACTTAAAGATTATAAGGTCTCTGAATTAATTTTGATATCACGTTACCAAAGGTATCAAGAAATTTGAAAAGATTGATGATCCATTCAAATATTTTGTTTTTAGAAAGAATTTGTGATGTAATTAACTCATAATAAAAGAGATAGTTGTTAGATTAGTATTAGTATTGTTCTTTAAATAGTGAGTTAAAATATCAAATACACTAAAATATTGCTTACTGAAATACCGTTTTTAACAAATTTCACCTAGTTCTAATAAAGTGATTTCGACTGAAGCTACACGATGATTCCCCCTTTAATTTTTGATGCACCAGAGATTCTTATATCATACCTGAAGCATATAGTTTCTTTGCTGGCAAATCTATTTATGTATCTTTTCATTATAATTGTGTCCTTCTACATATCTAAGTTCATAGTCGATTGTTTAGGATTTAAATGGATACTCATTTTCAAGAAGTTGGGATTTCATTTCATTGGTTTCCCAAATCAATTAAATTAATATAAGTATTGTAATTAATTAGCTGATAACATTAACCAATACATTTAACATTCATAAATTAGCTTATCTGGACTTTGTATAACGTTTTTCATACTCAAAATTCTTTCCAACTCAAAATTGTAAGAATTTAATCTAGACATACGTAAATACACAAAAGTATAACAGTGAAGTTGTTTTCAATGTAACTTATTCATCAGCAATAATTAGTATTTCATCGTGTACATCACAATATTGTTAATTTATGAATAAATGGAAATCTGAACATTACTCTGAAGCTTCATGATAATTCTATTTTATTAACGTGTCATTCAATGACTAAAACAACTGAAAACGACGCTGTCTTCAAGCTTTGAATGCTGATGAAATATATGTTTGATATTATGGTTGAAGAGCAGGAAGCACTAGACGGATGTTTCGTCCTATTGTGGGACTTCTCAGCAGTGTACATCCACGATTCCGCCTCGTGAAATTCGAACTGAAGACCTATCAGTCTCGAGCACGAACGCTTAACCTCTACTCCAGTGAACTGACCGGCAACCAATGGTGTTAATCTCTAACTTTAACTAATCCACGTAGTTGAGCGCTACATCCACCATTGTCATCAGTGAGTTACCATCTCACAACAGACCAAATTAAATTCCACTGGTCATTGCTTCTCACTAGAACTCCAGGAAATACCTCTTGAAATCAGTCACTAGTGAACATATGTTGATTAGTATGAGAAAGAATGATGGAGAAGATTTGTAGCTCACGTGGATTATTTTGATGGATTTTTGTCCTCTGAACTGGATGGTTTGGTCATGGAGCTCTCATTGTTCTTCTGAACGACATCCTCAGCACAAACCAATGGGAAACACAATCAAAACAAAGAAGTGAACAATGATAAATTTAAGGTCATTAAGAATCAATCAACATCGAGGTGCACAGAACAAGCTGTGAAACACATATGGAGATATTCGAACACTTCATTTCTATCTGAAGTTTGTGCTGATGATGTCGTTCCGAAGAACGATGAAAGCTCCACGACCGAACCATCCAGCTCAGAGAACGAAAATTCATCCAAAAGTATCAGAAGGGGTTTTGGGGATATTATAGTAATTTAATAGTTGAATTCCCTAGTCGACTGAATCATGAATAAGCACTGCTGAGGCATTCCATACTAGGAAGAAACGACCGTTCAATGTTCCCAAGTTTTTCCATGGAGGTCTAGCTTCAATTGACTCATGATCTCAACTATTAAAAAATATATATGTTGCGATAAAATATTTGTCACAATTGTTATTTATGTTTCGCACTACTAAATTAAGTGAATATCTCTAATAAGTTAAGCTGATTATTATCATATAATAAAACTTTCTCTGTTTGATCCGTTTTTTAAAGAAAATTACTTACTAACATAAAACATTTCAATAGTTATTCTTAATAAATTTACTTAACAACATGGTGGTCTAGCTTCAATTGACTCATGATTTCAATCTGTGAAATTTTTAAAATCTCCACAAACCCCTTCTGATAATAATCATGTGCTCACTAGTGACTGACTTCAAGATATACTCCTGGAGTTCTAGTGAGAAGCCGTTACTAGTTGAGTTCAACGAGGTCTGTTGTGAGATATCAGCTCACTGAAGACAATGGTGTACGGTGACGCAACTTCGTGGATTGGTTGAAGTTAGACATTAACACCATTGGATTCAGACTCAGTGATCTAGTTGACTAAGCGCTTGAGGCGAGACTGATAGTTCCTTGGCTCGAATCACGCGTGGTGCGGGTTCGTGGATGCGCACTGCTGAGGAGTCCTACACTAGGACGAAACGGCCGTCCAGTGATTCCAGGTTTTCTATAATAGTCTAACTTCAACTGACTCATAATTTCAATCTGTGAAAATTTCTAAAAATCTCCACAAACTCTTTCTCACATATATAATAGTTTATCTCAATTTTATTATTACAACTCATTAATGATAAATATGGATTACAGATAAATATTTACTTTTTTTTAAGAAAATAGCACAACCCTTAAAAGTAAATAAATGTTTTATAAAATAAACATGAATAAATCAATATCCCATTGATTATATTAAAAAATCAATTAATTCATTAAAACCTTTTTTAAAATCCATAATAGATTATTGATTATGAATATATTAATCAATTTCATGTGCAGAATATAAATAAACTGAACCATTATCATCTAATATATTTCCTTGTATAGGATCATAACGTACATGTTTAATATCAACTTCCCATGATTTAATATTATTATTATTATTCTCAATATAAATAGAATCTGTTTGACATAATTTATTTTTTTTATTTTTATTTTCTTCTTTTTCTTTTTTTATATTATGTTCTTTTCGATATTGATTATAATTATTAATATTATTTGATGTACTTGGTATTGATTCAATTATTTTTTTATCATTATATAAATCATAATCATTATTATTATTATACATATGTAATATTGATTTATGATGATTTGATTGTGGTGGATTATTATAATCAATTTCTAATATACCATTTAATGATTTATTCATAATCTTTTCATTCAATTGATTCAAAGTAGTATTTTTGAATGAATTTAATTCAATTACATGATTTGTCATTGAAATCATTTGATTTTTATCCATTATACCTTTTCTATTTGATCTTTTATTCTTGAATGGTATTAATTGTAATTGATTATTAGTTATTGATTTTTTTTTATAAAATTGATAAGGATCATAATTCATTTGTTTATTAAATGTATATTTCCATATTAATAATTGTGTATCAATTAATTGTATTAATTTATCCATATCATTCATATTTTTTATTGTTATAATTAAAAATTGTTTTTCAATATAATTATCATCATATAAACCAATAGCTAATTGTAATTTATATTGATTAAATAAAATAATTTTTTGTATTGTTTTATATTGTATTATATTTTCATAACGATATGGCCACCATGAACCATTTTTTAATATTAATGATGTATAAGTTAATAATAATTTGGTTTTAATATATTTTTTTGGTTGTTTCCATGGTTTATTATAATATTGTTCATAACGATATTTTAATATTGGTAATGAATAATCATCATGTATATATAATTCAATATAATTTTCTATATGTATTGTGATACATAATAATGGGGTAATTGTATTCAATGATTGTTTATTCATTATTATTATTATTATTATGATTATTAATGTAATTAAATGATCATTTAATGGATACAATCTATTTGTATATATTTATATACTTATATTACATTTCAATGATAAAAGTAGAATGTCTACTTGAGTTATAGTTTGTTTCTTTCTTTATTTTTGATATTTTGTTTTTAAAAAAAAATGAAGTACAATTTCTTAAAAAAAATTGTATATGTGACTTGTTGTTATGCTCAAAGTTTCTTATAATCAAATGAATATTATAGTCATTTTTCATAACAATCTATATAGAATAAATATGTATATAAATGAATTGATCAATATGCATAAATATTGATATCATAGTTAAGAGAGAAACGTTTGTTTGTTTCATTTTTATTTTTTTTTAATTTTTTTTTATTATTTTGGATTCATCTTAATAACCAATCAGATTGATATGGTGTAAACTGTTTTGTTAATACTTGAAATTATTCAAGAGAGAATAAAAATAATAATATGTGTAACCAATGTTTCGATTTCAATCGATTAGTGGTTAATGTTAGATATGAGAGGGAGAAAGAGAGAGATAAAGAGTTATAATGAGAAGTGAATAGACGCCAAGTCTATTGTAAAATATATGTATTCATGTATATTTCGTTGGTTATTTATTCTAAGAGAAAATAAAGTATCCTCAATCATTCAACGATTGATTAATTAAGAAAACGATTTTTATTTTTTATGTAATGTAAATATATGTATTTTTTAAAAACGAAAAACATTTCAAAGATTTAACTATAGATGGTCATTAAGTTGAGATAAGATGATGGTTGAAGGTAGTCAACAGGAAACCCTGGACCTAGATTTAGTGCTACTTGACACTTGTCAGCAAGATGTACCTGTAATCTTGAGGGAACTGATGCTTCTTGATGGATTCGATGCCATGTCACACGGCTTCACATTCGGCGACGTTACCATTGAGCTATCCGGGCCGCTGCTGACCTCCTGTACGGATGAGATATATTTACAATTGATCGATCACTGGGTGGTGATCACTTTCATATATGTCAGGTCCTTCTTAGTGCAGATTGAATCCTATCAGCCAAGTCTCAATTAGGCCAAGAAACCTAGGTTCAGGATTTCTTGTTAGCCACCTCCAACCATTATCTTATCTCAATATAGTGCACGCAATGTCGAGTCACTTGTTCTGGTTGTCACATTTCGACGTGGTCGATAGGATTCGATCTTCACTAAGAAAGAGCTGACATACATGACATTGATCATCACCCAGTGATTAATCAATTGTATAGACGGTCATATTAACTGAAAAAAAATTTTAATTTAATTCGAAGAAATTTATTTTTTGCGAAACCTAACACATATTCTGAGCTATTTGGTTTTTCTCACATGCCTAATTGATTCTTAAGGAGAAATTCCTTTAGATCTTGAAAATAATATTACTATAAAATGGCATCATCTGAATAAGTAATGAAAACCGGATAACAGTTTTTGGTCTGATTTAAGAGCTTTTTATTTTTATATACCCACTACCAAAAACTGGATGAAAATAAGCTTGGTAACATATAAAATATTTCTGCCAAATTATCTACTATATTAATGGTTGTTTAGCCAATATTGACAGAAGTTGAGCAAAGGTGTATTGAGAAATCATTTTAGTAGGTTCAGCTCAAACACAGATAAGTTGATAATATACTGATAGTTTTGGTTGAAGACTGTAAACTTTTTCAGGCTGAATGAGTTTGGAACGGTGGAATATCAGGATTATGAATGATCAGTGTAAGGATAACGAGCATATTACAAAATCTGTATATCATGGGTGCGACTGTATGTGGAAATGCAAGTGATTACTGGTATGGCGCCCCAGATGTGCCTACAAATTATTCTTCTGCACTTTTAGATTACACCTATTTGCAATCCAGCTGACATTATTTACTATTTCTCTTTTATCTGAAAACTATGAATTCAGCAAAAAACATTTCTGGCATTTAACTATAAGTTTACATAACTATTGTACTTAATCTTTCAGCTCTGCATATTACGCGTGGATACCAGTTCTTACATGCTCGTAGCCAAAAAAATTCATTTCTTTAATATTAGCAGCTTTTATATAGAACAATCTTCAGGAATTTTCGTCAAGCAGTGGTTGTATAAATAACAAGCTTTTATGTGGTATGAATGGATGAATTATGAATTCTTTTCTCTTAAACATACCCCCCTATATATAGAAATATATAGTATCTTATGAAAGAACCGATGTCGAGTGTATATTTCCCAGTGTATGTTTAACTTGCACAACTGTGATTTTGCAAATTATAGGCTTGTTCAAATGCTTTCCTGAATTATAATACCCTTTAATACCACTATCACACATAAAAAAGTTTGAATCTACTGTCCATTTCATCAAATACCATATTTCTGATTAATTCAGTGAATACAGCATTTAGAATAACAGTAAAATAACGATATAACGTTATTAGGCCAACTTTCTTTCTGATCGTTTGATCGACTGGTAGATTTATGAATAACCCATTTATAATTTTATTGTTAACATGATATCCATTTATACAACAGTATTTATTTGGTTGTATTTTCTTTATTGCATAAACATATTCCACAGCTGAAAAGATAAAAGTCATAATAATAATGGTATACAATGGACTTGGACGGTTGAGTCAAATTTTGTTTCCTTTGTCATGAGAAAATGAAAGTAGATAACATACTTATATTCAAACATAAAAAATTAGACGAGTAGTGAAATTTCAACTGTTTACATAATATCAGTTACCAAAGATCAGATTACACCTGTTACCTAGACAAGCACAATTCAGTTTTTAACAGAGTAGTGCGAAGACAAAACTAATCTTATATCAGTATAGGGTTGTGCAAATTGTTGAGTTTTTGATTGAATCGATCAATGATAGATCATCATAAAAAACCTGGATGCACTGGACGGCCATACATTTCTAGTATGAGACTCTTCAGCAGTGCGCATCCACGGTCCTCCACGTGGGACTCGAACCCAGGACCTTTGGTCTTGCGCTCAAACGCTTAACCTCTGGAACACTGAGCCGGCATTCAGCGGTGTTGACGTTTAATTTCAATTCCTCCACGATATTCAGTGGCTGTCCAGCATTGTCTTCAAAGAGTAACGGTCTCACGACAGACAAGGTTGCACTCCACTTTGTTGGATGCGCCAGCACAGCGGTTTAGGAGTTGAGCGCTCGAGAGCAAGACCGAAGGTCCTGGGTTCGAGTCCCATGTGGAGGATCATGGATGAGCACCGCCGAAGTGTCCCATACTAGAACGAAACAGCCGTTTAGTGTCCAAAATATTTGCCCACCAATTATGTTATCCCAGAACTTTATATGAGAATGAACATAGAAAAAAATCCCATTGGATCGACTAAAACGCTTCGTAATTTCAGTAATGACAAAGAAATTTTGAATTTTTGAAACACTCTTTAACAATGAAATGGAATCAAATTTACTAATGTTGTCTCAGGTTTAAGTGAAACTGTTTAATAATGACTAATGAGGAGAACCTGAAATGTTGTATGGTATACTCTTTGACAGTGTAATGGTTTAGAGGTACTTTTATGACTAGGGTTTTTACTACTAAATAAAAAATGGTTCTTTGAGATGTATACCTGTCATGATCTTTGATCTCATATTATCCTGTAGTTATGCTAAATGTATGTCTCTCTATATTAACTTGAAGAGTTCAATACGGTCATTTTATATACTCTACTTATTTTAAAAAATGTCGTTTATAAACTGGGCTAACCATAGTATTAATTTATATCTAAAGCATTGTACTATTTAAAAGTAATTTCAAGATTTCTATTGGTTTAGAAATTCGTACTTGTTTTAAGGAAGAATGGAATATCTTATAGGCTACATATTTTCATTCTACAAGGAAATACTAAACATGTTTTCGTGCTGACACTTTGTATGTAGAAAGGTATTTAACACTGAATAGTCGTTTCGTTCTTGTTTGAATTTTCTTGTTATTGGTCAACTATGGCTTTCAAGTGCTGGGGCGATTATCATAGCTTTAGATTATGTTCATACTTCCATTTGAAATGAATTTGCGATGCACTGAGCTTTTATTGTAGCAGTTTTGTGATAAAAAATCATTTGCGGCGATTTCAGGCTTTATTTAGAAGTTGTCATGCTTTGGAACTTAAAAACTGTTTTACCACGTTACATAGTTGATTATCCTATTACCATCATTAACGCTGTTATGTATATCTATATAATGTTCTCGATAGTTATTTATTCTATTCATTTGCATTATTTGATATCAGGCAAAATTAAACAGCAAATTGTCTTTCCGTCAATAAACTCTTTGTTTAACTAGTAACAAAACCATAAATAGTGATAATTACTGTCCGATTGTTTAAGTAGTAAAACGTATTACTATGTTCTTTGTTTAGTAGTTTGAATTTGGTCGACTCTAATACTATTCATAAAGTTTGAATTTTCCTATGCTCATTTCGTAATGTTTGGAAATCAGAAATGTATCCAAAGAGTTTTAATGTATAAAGAAAAACATATTGTATATATAGTATCACATTGTTATAATTTGTGACCTTGTGGCGCTAATTAGACGGAGATCTATCGACTGGACCAATGACGTATAAATCGTACAAGCACTCCTAGAGTATTTACCGATCATTCTTCTTGACTAGCCTTCCTTCCTCTCAAATTCAGAACACTAATCTCAGCTTCCACGATATAAATCATATATTTCAAACATATTGCGTTTATATACAAATTAAACAGACCACATCGCATCACATAATAGAAAACAACATTTGTAGAAGATCTAACCAAACGTGGCTGTGAATATGAGAGACTGTAATTAATAGACTAGGTATAACTCAAGAACGGTAAATCGTATAATAATAGTCTATGGATCAATATAAAGCTTACAACAAGAGGAATATGAATATGCATAGTTTAGTTACCTAAGAATTATACAATAAAAACAATATGTATAGTATTAGTCCAGAA